CACTGCATGTAGGCCCATGCACTGGTAACGTATCCAATGCAGCACACCATAACGCCGACTGGCTGCTGACAAAATTGTACGTACTTTTGTTAGTGCTCCAGCCCTCCTCCTCAGCCAGCCAGGGGCGTAGCCTGGCCCATCCACTCCATCTCTTGATGCATTAGGTAGGGAGGACTGATTTTCTTAAGGGCCTAGTGCCGTTGTGGGGTCATGGGCGGCATCTAGGCCTGGCGACCTTCCTGTGCATACGAGGTCTATTCAGCAATTGGTAACATGATGATGCTGAACGGTCGGCCCATCGCATGCCAACGCTCCATGGTAGAGAGCTTATTCTGAGGTCCCAGTTCTCTGCATATCCGCCCGTCGCATCGGTCTCTTTCTTGCAGCCAAGTGCGATGGGGCGTCGAGGGGGATGAGAAAAGTGGTTTGGAGGATTGTTGGTCAGGACAGACATAGTCTGTTGCCGACGTATTGCGGTGTTTTGGCCGCTTCCTCTGACCAATCTCCTCGTGTGAAAATCCAGGCCGCTATCACACCTGCAGCTATTCGTATCTGCATTCCTTTTCTACCTACTTATTAGCCCGACTGGATGGACGTATGATGTCAATCCATTGCAAGGCATATATTAGATGACGGATGTCAGTGATCTTAGTGGCTTTTGCATTCTCCGTTGTGGAAACTCCGGTCTACGATTCGACTCAAACCTTATTCAATCTGTGGATGTTATGGAGCTGTTGTAGGGCGCTGACAATGAGTACCCCTAATCCCAAGTACGTGAAACTTGGCATGAGAGGAAACTTCAAGGCTGGATGATTGGAATTAAATGACTATGAAGCTATGCCCATAATACTACACCTGGGCGAGGGGGCTTTCAAGTCTCACCGGCAATGCAGTTGCCGTTGGGTATTTCTTTTTCAGGTCGCCCAGTAGCGTTCTAGACAACTGAATGCGCGTACGTACGCGTCGGCTCTCGCCCGAGGGGGGAACGGAACCACCAAGTTTGGCCATATGCATAGGTACGCCGAGCTCCGTCCGTACTTGACGGGCAACCTACGGCCATCGGCCATTTTCTATCGAGGCCAAGCAATCCATGTATCGAGAATTCATTTTGCGTTGGACCGCGGTCCCAGTAAGGCGGGACGGAAGCTGGGGCCGTCCTTGGCACAACGCAAGTCAACCATGGACCGGGTGGCATCACACTGGTTCGAGGCCCTTCATTGAGTGTGCCAACATCTAAGCTTCTTTCAAATAACCATAGCAGCCGACGATCGAAGGCCGCGATGTGGTGTAAACCTTGAGGCTAGCGCCTGTGTGTTCTACGAAGACGAGTCTGTCATGATGAACTTGGAAGACCACGGCCGTGCCGAAAACCGAAGCCAATCCAACACCAGTCGGATGTGAAAGGGGTCTGTTTCGTCTTGCACAGTACAGAAGATCCAGGTGGTGATGTACGCACTGTTGGTGGAGGCTCACCATTTCGTAACGGAGGCCGTATTAGGAAGCATTTCAAACGGCCTCAGGCACCAACCCCACCCACTACTTCTCCGTAACCGCCGCCTTATTCCCCCACATCAGCGTGAACTAAGTAAGCTCCAGGCAGCTCACCTATTAGTTGGAGAACTTGCAAACCAGATCAACATCGTCTTTGGGATTCTCGTCGAAATGGGCACTTCATCCAACCTATTGGCTTTCTTTAGCCGAATGAAATCGCAAGGTGCCATTATTGTGGAAGGTCCGTTGCACACTCTTCTCACCCACCACCAAGAACCTACTGGCTGCACGAACATGGCTGACTTGTGAATATAGATCTGCCCAAGTTCGACGTAGAATCATACATCAGCAACTATCAAGGTAGACAGACGCAAGCAACTTGTCCCCGGAACTTCTTTGCCAATGCTTATCCAACTATGCTTTAGGCCGAACCCGTTTTGATCGATTGATGCTCATTGGCGAGAGCTCTGTACCGCTATGCGTTGATGCTCTAAAGGCAGCAGTGGTCGAAGCAAAGAGTGGGCGCGACGTCGGAAGATATAGAGGAGCATGGGAGTATATTCGAGTAGCCGCTCCCAACGAGCCCGAAGCGATACGTGACGATGCGTGGATCGAGTCAACAGAGGCGGCAAATAAGGCCGAGACGGCCAGGCTGGAGGTAGAACTCAAAGGATATCGCAACAACCTTATCAAGGAAAGCATTAGGGTAAGGCAAGAACAGTCCCACACAGCCATGAATTTGCTTCTAACCGGCACAGATGGGAAATGAAGATATTGGCACCCACCTCGAGGAGATCGGCCACTTGAAGGAAGCTGCTGAAGCTTATGGCCGTATGCGGCACGATGTCAGCGCGACAAAGCACATTGTGGATTGTGCGCAACATCTTGTCAGTGTAGCACTCCAGCGCCGTGACTGGGTCTCCGTCATCAGCAATGCCAGTAAGGTCAGCGGCTTGCAGGCTACCGAACTTGAACGGGATCTACAACCATACCTCAAGGCCGTCTCTGGCATAGGACAAATGGGCTTGGGGAAATACCACGAAGCAGCAACGAGCTTCCTACAAATCAACTCAGCCGGTTCTCTAGAGTCGTTGCAGGGTCTCGTAACTTCTAACGACATTGCCATATATGGAGGCCTCCTCGCCTTGGCCACCATGGACAGAAACGATTTGCAGACCAGAGTTCTGGATAGCCCTACTTTTCGCACATTTCTGGAACACGAGCCTCATGTGCGAAAGGCCATTAGTCAATTCATCAACGGCCGCTACTCGGCCTGTCTCTCAATTCTGGGTGCTCTTCAAGCTGACTGCTTGCTTGACCTATATCTGCAGAAGCATGTTGCAACAATCTTTACCCGCATCAGAAGGAAGTGTATTGTCCAATACTTTATTCCATTCTCATGTGTAACCATCCAGAGTTTAGACGAGGCTTTCGGCCGCGGAGGCAACTCCATTGAAGACGAGCTTGCGAGTATGATTAAAGACGGCGCCTTGAATGCTCGGATTGACTCAAAATCAAAGGTTTTTTTTCCCACCCTCAACATTTTGCAAGCTGCGATATCTGACTATTTATTTAGTTGCTTGTGGCCGTTAGCACCGATCCACGAGCGCAGATGCAAGCGAAAGCTCTCAATGTCGCAAGAAAGTACGAGCACGAGGCCAAGGAACGCCTCCGACGAATCAATGTCATTGCTTCAGGGCTGGAAGTGACCCGAGGCAAGAGACAGACGGACGAACATTGGTTGGAAGGAGAGAGAGCATCCGTTCTCACTGGCTAATTGAGGGTAACAGTCCACAAAAATTTAAGGACGACTGGACGAGTGATGAATGCTTACGACACCAAATTGAGGAAGCTACACTTAACGTATCACAAACGGGGATAAACCGCCTTTCATTTTGGAGCCAGGGTTACTCAGAGCATGAGTGAGATGCAAGGCGCAGGAGTTGGTATTCATTCTAGATTATTACAAAACGCTGAAGATTCTTTGAGACTGAAACGCTAAATTATCATCATTCCTCGTAGTGCAGTGTATTTCTGCCGTTGATTATACATTTTTGAAAACACAATTGTGTTATCCCATCAACTGCTTCAAATCGCTTGGCGGCCACCTCACCTGTGCAAAGGTGAGGCAACGTTTGATGCTCTGAAGATATTTTCGTGTGACTTCATCACCCATAACGTGCCCCTTCTCGCCATTGTGCAGCTTTTCTCGGGCGCTACGTTCGTGGATACCAACCATGGTAACACCAATCGGCCAGGCAGCCTTGCCAATACTGAGGCGGAGGTAGCCGTCATTGGCATCGACATATCGTCGTTCTTGGAGCGCCTTAACAATTTCGATGATAGGTTCCAAGAGCGAATCTTCAAGATTGCCACTTTCGAACTTCCGGAACAGCTGGAGAATGCATTGTCAGCAGTGAAAAGCAAGGGTGAGATGACAGTGGGACTTACAGGTACCATGTTTTCTCGTGTCTGTACCATGGCAGCGTATGCGGTTTTACTTGCAGTTGTGTCTCGCCTTTCCTCTTCCATTGCGCGTTCGTAAGCCGTGAGAATCATTGTGAAGTAACTGGCCAGCTGGCGGAACACCCATTGTTTCCCCTGCTTGTCTTTCGGTACGGTTCCATCGAGCTTCATATCCTTCTCTTCCACGAGTTCCAGAGTGGTAGGAATGGGGCCCTTTGTAATCACGGTAGTAAGTTTCCTGTACCGCCGTAGCCTTGCTACATGTTTCTCTCCGAACAAAGCAACGGGCTCTCCAAGGGCTCTGAGCTTCTCTCGGAGCTCATCTTCGGGGATGTCCTCGACCCCCTCGCCCACGTTATTCTCTTCGTCATCGTCCGTCTTTCTCTTCAGCTCCTCCAGACCCAGCTTTTTCCTTCTCGCTTGTTGCTCTGCCCACTCCTCGTCCTCGCGACGTTTTCGAGACTCTTCGGCAAGCTTGCGGCGCTTCTCCTCTCGCGCGGCGTTCTCAGCTGCGACTTCCTCCTCCCGCTTGCGCTTCGCAATCGCTTTCGCTTCGCGTTCTTCCTCGAGAGCCTTTTGTTCGGCGGCGTAGGCTGCCTTGCGCTTGGCCTCGATTTCAGAGCGCTTCATAAACTTTTTGGTCGAGCCGCTGTCGCTTGGCTTCTGCGACTTGCCAAGCTCCTTCTTCATCAACGCCGCGAAATCCATGGTCGTCGTTCCAGCAGATAATGCGAGCTGGTGTCGGTAGAGCAAAGGCCAATATAAATCAAAAATAAACGAATGATCAATAGACTCGTGTTTAGTCAAGATTCAATCGGACAACCATTGCGCGAGGCTGCAAGTTGCTTCCCATCGCTTATCGATTGCGGATAAAGCACGGAGAATCTGGAAGCGCCGACGCATCGGCACGAAGCTCTGAATGGTTTCCGCAACCAAACAAGCAGTGACCTATCAAACGCAGTAGATGCTTCTAGAGTCCAACACATTGCGATACAACGAATATATTGATCAATAATAAGTCGCATTGAAGCTATAATCTGAACATGTCTTCCGTCTCAAGCGACCGAGACGAACCGGCCCCATTTCTGCTACAGCTCTTTTATCGCACCGGGTCATTTCATACGTAGGCATCCCAGCACCCCGGCGGGAGTTCAGAGCTGACCTATTGCTCGTAGACCAGAGGACTTCTCGTCACATACCCTGCCGTCCCATGTATCCGTTTATACGGGACAGGACTGTACGCTTCATCAGCTGGCGCTTGAACTGGCCGCATTGAAACCATCTGCCATACCAACCCCGGCTGTTGGTACACGATTAGCTTTTCAACTCGTCTGCCCTGATCTTCGTAACAGTAACGGGATTTCCCACGCGCCCCCGCGGTATGCGGTCAAAGATCTTGGCAGTATTGTGCTTGGAGGGCATGGACCAGGTGCAGATCATGATGCCGGACTCTCTGATACTAGTCTGGATGATCAGAAGACTTTAGCAGATGCTCGATTCGTAGTCGGTGATTTCATTTCGTGTGCAGTGCTCCCTCCCTTGGCTGATGGATCAGTCGCGCCGGTGCCCACCACTAAAAGAGAACCTATCCCTGGGGCGCGGGACGGTCGTCCGAGTTGGCGAGGCGACTCTTCAGCTAGAAACGGCGGTTTTGGACGTGGCGGACATCGAGGAGGACGAAGCGGCTGGAAAGAAGGGGCCGGAGGTCGCATTCCGACTGGAGAATGGCGGAGGGGTGAGAGGCTTCCAGAGGGTCCTGAAGGCAGGTTAAGAGAGAAAAGCAACTGGTAATTCATGTCATGCATTTGCGGGTTTGCGCCTTGGGTTCATGTTTCGCTTCTGCTCCGGAAGGACGAGTAATTCGAATGATATTAGAATCGGTTATGGCAAGTCCTTGGTAGAATGGAAGTTTTATTCCGTGCCAAAATAGCCATATGTACACACTCCTTTCCCAACCATTCTGAACGCAATTTACTTCTGGTAGACAGTGTCGCCCTTTCTCGGCGCCTTGAGATTGTACAGGCCCTTGAAGCAATTAGTTATGGCTCAATTGGAGCTGCGAATATGAACCTACATCGGTCTGGTAGGCGAGGTATCCCACCAGAGCAGGAATGACGGCAACGTAGATAAATGTGATACGGGAGGTTCGGGCGTTGAATCGGAAGTATTGGACGCGGTTCTTCGTCATAGCTACGCTGGATGTTAGAATTCGGCATCGTGATGGTAATGGTGATCGTTACTCACCCGCCACCTTCTGGTAGGCCGGGTCCGGCCGGAAGCCTGGAGCATGGCGGTTAGCAGTTTGAACCTGTATTCATGCGATTGGTAATCTTACCGAGTTCTGCCATCTTGATTGAACGAGTTCTGGTGAGTTTGAACTTGTTTGCGGGTTGGGAATGGGTTGCGCTCTGAAGTTGGAATCCTTGGCGTTGAAGGGACGAGGCACTTGAGCTTTATCTTACATAATGAATTAGGAACTACCCTATTGGCCCGATCTGCCGATGAGAACAACCTCTAAATACAAGAATTCACTGCCTCATCCTTTAGCTATGGACAATCAATAAGTAAGAAAATATATAATTTTAAGAGACTGGCAAGAAATAAGTGACATTTTTTTTAAAGGGTCTGCTGGTTTTATCCAGAAGTGTACAAAGACGTGTCATTTGATGCTTCAGGGACTAAGAAGCGAATGGCCTCACGTGAATGGCTCTGACTCTTCCTTCACTCTGAATATCAGCAAACTTCGCAACTTCTCGTTTTTTGCGACGACATCTAAGGGATCAACGCTTTTCTTCTTTCTAGCATAGTAGGATTTCACAGAACTCCTGCTGCATTGATAGTCTAGCTCAATGAATGATCTTTACAGATGCATGTACCTGTATTTCAATGGCGCCTGGATACATTATTATGTTCACTGGAAAAAAATTCTATACTCATTTCTCATACTAAAGATCGAAATAATTCCATCTCTCGCACCAACCATATTAAATTCTAGGCAAAGCTCCCAGGTTGGAACTCCTCGCTCGCGTGCTCAAGGAGTACTTTGGCTGTTGAGACGGGGTCACGTGCGGCGCTAGTCCCATTCAAACGCCAAGCAAGAAATTAATTTGGATACGCGACGACGGCCTCATCGTGCAGCTCGCGATTGCAAACCTTGATCTCCAAGCAGTCGCGCTGCTGGTAATCATGTCGCATCCACCACCACCACCTCCGGGATGGGGAGCTCCCCCTCCTCCCCCCCCTCCTCCATCATCTCTTCCTCCTCCTCCGTCGACGCCAGCTCCTCCCGCGCCGCCGCCGCCTGGCTATCGACCTTCGACTGATCCCCTGGTCGCAAAGCTGGCGCAAAAGAAGAAGGAATGGCTTCGGGACCGTCGAAATCGATTCGGGGAGAAGAGGAAGGCTGGATTCGTCCAGACTCAGAAGGCTGATATGCCTCCTGAGCATTTACGAAAGATCGTTAGGGATATCGGCGACGTCTCGCAGAAGAAATACACCAACGATAAGCGCAGCTATCTGGGAGCATTGAAGTTCATGCCTCACGCCGTTTTAAAGCTTCTTGAGAACATGCCCATGCCTTGGGAGTCGGCAAGGGAAGTCAAGGTGCTTTACCACGTCAACGGTTGCTTGACGCTCGTCAACGAAATTCCTCGAGTCATCGAACCCGTCTTTTTCGCACAGTGGGCGATGATGTGGACCTTTATGCGAAAAGAAAAGGCCGATCGACGACTCTTCAAACGTATGCGATTCCCTCCGTTCGACGACGAAGAGCCACCGCTGTCGTGGGCCGAAAACTTGGAGGACGTCGAGCCTTTGGAACCGATTCAGATGGAGCTCAACGAGGAAGAAGACGAGGCCGTACACGAATGGTTCTATGACCATCGCCCTTTGCTCGATACGCCGCATGTCAACGGACCGAGCTACAAAGCATGGAATCTATCTCTACCTCAAATGGCCACCCTTTTCCGACTGAGTAGGCCCCTGATTTCTGACGTGGTTGATTCGAACTACTTCTACCTGTTCGATCTCAAGGGTTTCCTTACCGCCAAGGCGCTCAATGTCGCCTTGCCAGGTGGCCCAAGATTCGAGCCCTTATACAAGGACATCAACCCGAACGACGAAGATTTTGGCGAGTTCAACGCCATCGACCGCATCATTTTCCGAAACCCCATCCGCACAGAGTTTCGGGTAGCATATCCATACTTATATAATTCCCTTCCACGAAGCGTTCATCTTGCTTGGCACTCTTATCCCCAAATCGTCTTCAACCGGGCTGATGACCCTGACCTGCCTACATTCCACTTCGACCGCCGCATCAACCCAATTTCTTCGCGAACTGTGGCTTCGAAGAACGTCGAAGTGTCACTTGAAGATGAGTTGTTTGGCCCAGGGTCCAACGAAGAACCGGAGGATGATGCATTTGAGCTTCCCGCTGGCGTGGAGCCATTCCTTGCCGACGAGGAGCTAGAAAATACAGACACCTCCTCAGCCATTGAGCTGTGGTGGGCTCCTTTCCCATTCAATCGACGATCAGGTCGCATGGTTCGCGCACAAGACGTACCGCTGATTAAACAGTGGTATCTTGAGCATCCCCCCTCGGACCGGCCACCTGTGAAGGTGCGGGTGTCATATCAGAAACTCCTCAAGAATTTTGTTCTGAATGAGCTTCATAAAAAGAGACCAAAGGCACACAACAATCAAAATCTTCTACGCTCTTTGAAGCAAACCAAGTTCTTCCAGCAAACGACTATCGACTGGGTGGAGGCTGGTCTGCAGGTCTGCCGCCAAGGTTTTAATATGCTGAACCTCCTTATCCATCGCAAGAATTTGACGTATCTTCATCTTGATTACAACTTCAATTTGAAGCCCGTCAAGACCCTGACCACCAAGGAGCGTAAGAAGTCAAGATTTGGAAACGCGTTCCATCTGATGCGAGAAATCCTGCGCTTGACCAAACTGATCGTCGATGCTCAAGTTCAGTACCGCCTGGGAAATATTGATGCCTTTCAGCTGGCTGATGGTATCCTCTATGCATTCAACCACGTCGGTCAGCTCACGGGAATGTACCGTTATAAATATAAGTTGATGCATCAGATCCGAACTTGCAAAGATTTGAAGCACTTGATCTACTATCGCTTCAACTCTGGGCCTGTTGGCAAAGGTCCTGGTTGTGGTTTCTGGGCACCTGCGTGGAGAGTTTGGCTATTCTTCATGCGCGGTATTATTCCTCTCTTGGAGCGTTGGCTAGGAAATCTTCTCTCCCGTCAATTCGAAGGTCGTCACAGTAAGGGAGTCGCCAAAACTGTGACTAAGCAACGTGTCGAGTCGCACTTCGATTTGGAGCTCCGCGCCTCTGTTATGGCTGATCTTATGGATATGATGCCCGAGGGTATTAAGCAAAACAAGGTCAACACGGTGCTCCAGCATCTGTCTGAAGCATGGCGATGCTGGAAGAGTAACATTCCTTGGAAGGTTCCCGGACTGCCTGCGCCCATTGAAAACATTATTCTACGTTATGTCAAGTCAAAGGCCGATTGGTGGATTTCGGTTGCTCATTACAACAGAGAGCGTATCCGACGAGGTGCCACTGTTGACAAGACTGTTGCCAAGAAGAATGTGGGCCGGTTGACTCGTCTCTGGCTCAAGGCTGAGCAGGAGAGACAGCATAACCACATGAAGGATGGACCTTACGTGTCATCAGAAGAAGGTGTGGCAATCTACACCACTACCGTGCACTGGCTCGAGTCGCGCAAGTTTTCCCCTATTCCATTTCCTAGTGTGTCTTATAAACACGACACGAAGATCCTCATCTTGGCCCTTGAACGTCTTCGAGAAGCATACTCTGTTAAGGGGCGCATGAATCAGAGTCAGCGTGAAGAATTGGCCTTAATCGAGCAGGCCTACGATAGCCCCGGTACTACCCTCGAGCGTATCAAGCGCTTCCTCCTCACGCAACGAGCTTTCAAGGAGGTGAGCATTGATATGAACGACAACTATAGTACTATTAATCCGGTGTACGATATCGAGCCCATTGAGAAAATCAGCGATGCTTATCTCGATCAATATCTTTGGTACCAAGCAGACCAGCGACATCTGTTCCCTGCCTGGATTAAGCCTTCCGACTCTGAGGTGCCACCGCTTTTGACATACAAGTGGGCGCAGGGCATTAACAACCTTGGTCGGGTTTGGGAAACGGCAGATGGCGAATGCAATGTCATGATTGAGACGGAGCTGTCTAAGGTCTACGAGAAGATTGAATTGACCCTCCTGAACTCTTTATTGAGATTGATCATGGATCACAATCTTGCGGATTACATCACCGCCAAGAACAATGTTCAGCTCACATACAAGGACATGAATCACGTCAATAGCTATGGTATGATTCGTGGCCTTCAATTTTCAGCTTTCGTGTTCCAATTTTATGGATTGGTACTCGATCTGTTGCTACTTGGCCCTCAGAGAGCCAGTGAGATTGCTGGACCCCCAGAAAGCCCCAACGATTTCTTGCAGTTCCGCGATCGCGAGACTGAGACAAGGCACCCAATCCGTCTGTATACTCGATACATTGACAAGATCTGGGTTTTCTTGCGATTCACAGCCGAAGAATCGAGAGATCTCATCCAACGATTCTTGACAGAGCAACCCGATCCTAATTTTGAGAATGTGATTGGGTACAAGAGCAAGAAATGCTGGCCGAGAGATTCTCGAATGCGTTTGATGAGGCATGACGTCAATCTTGGTCGAGCCGTGTTTTGGGATCTCAAGAACCGACTACCCCGATCTGTCACTACAATCGATTGGGATGACAGCTTTGTGAGCGTCTACAGTCGCGACAACCCGAATTTGCTATTCTCCATGTGTGGTTTTGAAGTCCGCATCCTGCCAAAGATCCGAAACCAGAATGATGAATTCTCAGTCAAGGATAGTGTTTGGTCTTTAGTTGACAACACAACCAAGGAGAGAACCGCACACGCTTTCCTACAAGTAACTGAAGAGGACGTTCAGAAATTCAACAATCGCATCAGGCAGATTCTCATGTCTTCGGGATCTACAACTTTTACCAAGATTGCCAACAAGTGGAACACGGCACTGATCGCTCTTTTCACATACTATCGCGAGGCTGCTGTTTCCACCGTAGACCTCTTGGATACTATTGTTAAATGTGAAACGAAGATCCAGACTCGAGTCAAGATTGGGCTGAACTCCAAGATGCCTTCTCGTTTCCCACCTGCCGTGTTCTATACACCCAAGGAATTGGGCGGTCTCGGCATGATCTCAGGATCTCACATATTGATTCCTGCTAGCGACAAGCGTTGGTCTAAGCAGACAGACACGGGAGTGACCCATTATCGTGCTGGTATGACGCATGATGAGGAGACGTTGATCCCTAACATCTTCCGATACATCGTGCCTTGGGAGGCCGAATTCATTGACTCTCAGCGAGTGTGGACGGAATACTCGCAGAAGCGTCTCGAAGCTAACCAGCAGAATCGCCGACTAACACTAGAGGATTTAGAGGATAGTTGGGACCGCGGTCTACCTCGAATCAACACCCTCTTCCAGAAGGACAGGAGTACACTCAGCTTCGACAAGGGTTTCCGAGCACGAGCCGACTTTAAAATCTACCAGCTGATGAAGAGCAATCCTTTCTGGTGGACAAGTCAGCGGCACGACGGAAAATTGTGGAATTTGAACGCATATCGAACCGATGTTATCCAGGCGCTTGGTGGTGTTGAAACGATTTTGGAACACACCCTCTTCAAAGCAACAGGATTTCCATCATGGGAGGGTTTGTTTTGGGAAAGAGCTTCGGGATTTGAACAGTTCTGACACCCTTTATCCTTATTTTGAAGCTCATCATGCTAATTGTTGTTGCAGATCTATGCAGTTCAAGAAGTTGACGAATGCGCAGAGGTCTGGTTTGAACCAGATCCCGAACCGACGGTTTACCCTGTGGTGGAGCCCCACTATAAACCGCGCTAACGTTTATGTGGGGTTCCAAGTCCAGCTAGACTTGACGGGTATCTTCCTTCACGGAAAGATCCCTACATTAAAGATTTCCTTGATTCAAATCTTCCGTGCTCACTTGTGGCAAAAGATCCATGAGGCAGTCGTCATGGATCTTTGCCAGGTGTTTGATCAGGAACTGGAGTCGCTTGGCATTGAGACGGCGCAAAAAGAGACAATTCATCCTCGAAAGTCGTACAAGATGAACAGCTCCTGTGCTGATATCCTGCTCTTTGCCAGCCACAAGTGGAATGTCACACGGCCATCTTTGCTGCATGATACCAAGGACGTGGTGGAGCCGACGACGACTAACAAGTTCTGGATTGATGTCCAATTGCGATATGGAGATTACGACTCGCACGACATTGAGCGGTACACGCGTGCCAAGTATCTAGACTACACCACGGACAGCGCAAGTATCTACCCATCGCCAACCGGTCTCATGATTGGAATTGACCTTGCCTACAATCTGCATTCTGCATATGGAATGTACTTCCCTGGTCTGAAAGAGCTGGTTCAGCAAGCAATGGCAAAGATCATGAAGGCCAATCCTGCTCTTTACGTTCTGCGAGAGCGAATTCGTAAAGGTCTGCAGCTTTATGCTTCGGAGAGTAACCAGGAATTCCTTAACTCGAGCAACTACACTGAACTGTTTAACGACAAAACACAGCTCTTCATTGACGACACCAATGTCTATCGTGTCACTATCCACAAGACCTTTGAGGGTAATTTGACTACAAAGCCAATCAACGGCGCGATCTTCATCTTTAATCCCCGCACGGGTCAGCTCTTCCTCAAGATCATCCACACAAGCGTATGGGCTGGACAGAAGCGTCTCGGACAGCTTGCCAAATGGAAGACAGCGGAAGAAGTCGCCGCGCTCATTCGCTCTCTCCCCACAGAGGAGCAGCCCAAGCAATTGATTGTTACCCGTAAGGGCTTACTTGACCCTCTCGAGGTTCACTTGCTCGACTTCCCCAACATTTCTATCAGAGCATCCGAATTGCAGCTTCCCTTCCAAGCGGCTATGAAGATAGAGAAGCTTGGAGATATGATTCTAAGAGCAACTGAACCACAGATGGTTCTGTTCAACCTCTATGATGAGTGGCTCAAGTCTGTTGCCTCGTACACGGCCTTTTCGCGTCTTATTCTCATTCTGCGTGCACTGCATGTGAACCCAGACAAGACTAAGCTGATTTTGAGACCCGACAAGACCGTCATCACCCACGATCATCACATTTGGCCTTCACTATCCGATGAAGACTGGGTCAAGGTTGAAGTCCAGCTTCGCGATCTGGTCTTGAATGACTACGGCAAGAAAAACAATGTCAACGTGGCCAGTTTGACCAGCAGTGAAGTTCGTGATGTTATTTTGGGTATGGAGATTTCCGCCCCATCAATGCAAAGGCAACAGGCAGCGGAACTGGAAAAGCAACAACAGGAGCAACAGCAGCTTACTGCTGTCACCACCAAAACGCAGAACGTTCATGGCGAGGATATCATTGTGACCACGACCTCCCAGTTTGAGCAGCAAACATTCGCGTCCAAGACAGAGTGGCGAACAAGAGCAATTGCGTCAGCCAATCTCCGATCAAGAGCTAAGAACATTTACGTTTCATCTGCTGATGATGCGGACGATGTTACCTATGTGATGCCAAACAACATTCTGAGGAAGTTCATCACGATCGCCGACTTGAGAATCCAAATTGCCGGATACTTGTACGGAGTTTCCCCCCCCGACAACCAGCAAGTTAAGGAGATCAAGTGTATCGTCATGATTCCGCAAGTAGGCGGTCTCCGGAACGTCAAACTGCCAAATCAGTTGCCCCAGAGCGATTTCTTGGAAGGTATGGAGCCACTCGGTATCATCCACACAATCGCAGGCAATGAGTTGCCTTACATGTCGGCAAGCGAAGTGACTGAGCACTCAAAGCTTCTGGACGCTCATCAAGAGTGGGACAAGACGAACACTGTCACGGTCTCGGCGGCGTTCACATCCGCCAGTGTAACTCTCTCCGCTTGGGGACTCACTCCTCAAGGTTACAAGTGGGGAGCCGAGAACAAGGACATCCAGAGCGACCAACCTCAAGGCTTTACCACCACAATGGGAGAAAAGCGGAAGCTGTTGTTGAGCCCACGCTTCAAGGGCTTCTTCCTTGTACCAGAAGATGATCGTTGGAACTACCTGCTCATGGGCAATGCATTCAGCGGCATGTCTATGAAACCAGTCCCAGTCAAGCTTGATAATCCACTGCCGTTCTACAATGATCATCATAGACCCATTCACTTCCAGAGTTTTGCTGAACTGGAAGATATCTGGGTGGATCGATCAGACAACTTTGCCTAGACAGGTATTGCGTGGATGGCTGGGGTACGTTTCCTTACTACCTCATTTGGTTTTCATTTGGTTTTGCACAATTAGAAGGCGGGATAATAAGAGGTGATTCGAGAGGAGGAAAATGACAAATTGATTTTAGGCAAGCAGCCTCCACTATCTGGGTGCGAACGGCGTCGATTTGCAGTTGGGTTTGTAAGTTGTCAGATATGCATTTACGGGGTTGAGAAGCCCACTATTAAGGGATGTAATTTTAGGAGATGCTCAACGAAACGCAAAATATATAACTTCATGACACACACACATAAAATGCTTCATGTGTATACTATTATTGTTGATGACATCGTTATAATTATTGTTTGTGTATCCTTCCAACTATTGTAGTTTATTTGCCTGCTCGATGGGTTTATTGTTTACCAAAACCTCGCATTTTGATGTCAGGCAGAGGCTTTGCTACTGTCGTCAGTCAACTTCTCTTCACCTCTCCTTAAAGTCAACTTGTCCTTACTTCTCTTTGGAGTCAACTTCTCTTCACTTCTCTGTAGATAAAGTCACCATACTTTGAGAAGTCTCTTGCTAGATAGTCATCAGTACTAGCAATGTCAACAACTTCTCACCAGTGGGGGGGGGGCTCCTGGCTAACTCCTAATTTTTGGTGCGCCCCCTAGAGAATATAGAGTCCCTTGTGAGATTGTTCTGAGCAATATCTGGAGTCTAGAGCCTAGTGGTGTGTTTTCACCCTCTCTTAACGAACCCGAGTGACTCTCCAAGGCTAACCCGCTTGCCTATATCTTGCCCTTCACTCTCCTATCACCATCATCTGCCCAACTCATTCATCCTACGCTGCCTCTACTGGTAGTCTATTGTTCGAATCATCTTAGTTTGCGTCTAGGACCAAACCATCATCAAGGACTTAGGTTTGGCCATTGTTGCAAACGACATCGACAGTCTTCATTTACCAATTTCCGAACGCAGGGAACCGCTCGAAACATATGTATAACAATGGCTGCTAGCCCATTCATTCCGACCATTGACGCCAGGGTCACAGCTTCTGTCAACGTGGAGAATCTTGCGACCAGACTGCCCGAGATTGGCTCCTTAAAGCCCCCTTCCGATCAAGGCAACTTGCCTTGGATTCAATGGAACGACATCCTTACTGAATCCGACTCCTCGGCCGACCAGTTGCGAGCTTGGATGGTTTACTTAGTCTATTTGAGAGAGGCTATACATTGGGATGCCAACGACCACCAGGAGATGAGACAGTATTTGGCCGTCAGACGACTATACCAGTTGAAGGGCCTGAACCGCCTGGCGCCCAGCCGTACTCAACAATACTGCGTTGCAAACGCCAAGGAAGAGAACTTCACTCTATCTATTGGTCATTTACTAAAGACACTCTTCCCTAAGCACCCAGTGATTGAATTCTGGGCGCTTCACCGTCGTGTTTACCCTGGAGTTCCTGCAGGTGTATCCCGAACAAAAGAATCAGCGGAGGTGACTGGGGGAGCCGCAAACCCGATAGAATTGGGATTTGATGGCCTCGATACCGAAACCAGCCTGGCTTCAAGATCTCAAGATATCGGAATAGATTCGTATCTCAATGAGATCCCGACTCATCTCATGAGCGAGCAAACTGCTTCCTGCGGCTCATATCCTACCCCCATTTCAATGAACTCATACCAACACGTCGAAGACTCCAACCCACTTACCTGTGGTATGACATGGAGGGTTGGCGAGGCAGAAAGGAAAATCGACATCACAACCTTGGATGTGACGATGACTGGGCCTAATCACGTCATTGTCCAAGCATCTCTATCTTCCCAAACTTGTCACCGATGTGAAACCTTCCCAAGTTCAGAATGTCACTGCCCTGCAAGAGTATTCGGAAAACCTACGGAACAATCACAGAATGAATCGATGAGATGTGACTTATCCACCTCAATCCTTGACAAGCAACCACACTCTAACAACACCAGGGTTGAGAATCACCAGACCAAAAGAAACACTGAAACTCACGGAAGTGTTTCTAGCCATTCCGCCAGGCCGGGTCTCACCACTGACAGCCTTGTTACATCGCTTTCCAGATACCTGGCGGATCACCCCCGCTGCAGCAGCAGAAACAGCACAAAGTCATTGCCTTGCCAGTGGGAACGGGGAGCCGGACTAAAGCAATTCTGAAACACCCTCTTGTGGAATTCCTTCTGTTTCAAACCGCCTCGCTCAAGTGGGAAGTTCGTGAGCTGCAAGCGAACGATGAAACTGCCGATGGGGGAGTTGTCAAGCTTCGGAGGGAATCCGATGGGTCAAGTGTCAGGCGATGTGAACATGGAAGCATCATTAGCAAAGTGAGGGCAGCTTTGGCCTACATCTGAATCGCACCAGGAGGGATCTTACACTGACCCGCCAAAGAGCTCTGGCTGTTTTTAACACCTGAAAGAATCGGAATGGGAAGGGAACAAAATGAGAGCTTTGTAATCCATGAAAGATCTTGCTGTCGATGGATCTGCGAAAGGGTTATACGATGAAGTTGATCTTTGAAGTTACCGGCTTTGGCACTATAGGCAAGGCCTGAATTCCAGGCCTCTGGGCTTGTATTAACTACCTGGAGATGTTAGGTATAGCCTATGACCTTGTTTAATTTCCACTGCGGTGGTTAAGCTTTTCCCTGTATAATATGATCTCAACCGGTGACAGACCCCCTGAAGAAGCCTAATTGAAGATCCTTGAGGAATAGGAAAAGGACAGCTAGGAACCTCAACAGGCAGCAAAGACAACACGAGAAGTTTCCTTAATTGCAGAAGCTATAGTTACTACTTACCCCTTTTTTGCTCACACAATATACAACATTCACTCATCTCTACGATGACCGGGGTGATATTAGTGATGATTAGGGCATTCAGCTCGCTTCGCAAATAGACTGCCTGCGCGTCTGCCATGTGGCAAGGGAGATTGATGACTCCGCCGTCGACGCGACCAGACGTTGGTTCGTACGAGAATTACGGCCCTCGTAAGAGGACGCGTCGTGGCGTACAGGAGAAGAACATGGCGCAACCTTGCGGCGGAGCGGAGCTCGCGAGATTTAAGAGTGCAACGTCAATAGCGTGTCAATCCACAGAGGCAGGCATTCGTCTTGCAAGGATGGCCCAGGAGGCGACCCGAGGGACCGGGTTCTGATCAGGATGACAGGTGACAGGAAGTCTTCCGGACTATGGAGAAGGCCCCGGAAAGTATGCCCAGGTGGTAGTCTTCCAAGAAGGAGTTGGAAGCTTTTTTTTCCGCAATGGCCGCTCATGTCATCATGATTAATTGGATTCTGGCGATGCCGTAGCCGAGTGGCAGAGGCAGCAAAGGGTGGTGGTATCGAAGCCAGGAAGCCAAGTTGAAGGGCTGACAGTGCGCATCATCATGCCCGATTTGGCAAATACCAAAATGGCAAACAAGATAATTGCAATGACGGAGTTTTCCAGAGCATTGCAAGTGCAGGCCGTTGTCCGGCCTTGACGTCGGGTCCTCCATCATCATGGACGGTGACGGTGGAGGAGTGAGCATCAAACCTTGTAGCGAAGCGGGATACTGCTTTGGTGCACACCCACTGGACGGTAATACATCATCTCCATAGTCATGGTAATACCGACGTAGAGACAAAGCTGTAGGTTAAGCCTGTGCTAGCAAACGCATCCTGGTCGAGGGATTGATGGATTGGCCAGACGCGCTCAATGCCTTAAAGAGACACTCCACTCTCAATTTCCTACTGCCAGTCTGTGCTTAATCGAACAAGCACCAACGCCGCCTTGCCTTGATTGGGGCAGTTTTTCCTCACAGATGGAGAGGTGCCATTGCGACTAGCAGTGCAAAGTACGCACGCACGCACCGATGGCGACCAGGGTGCTTAATCACTCACAGACGGAAATTAGGCATTTCATGCGTCCATGCAGCCAGCGGAGGTTCAACTTGATTGCAATGACATTCTCCATGTGGAACGAACAGAGCACCCTTACTCGGGATTTGTCCTGTGCAGCGTGGGCGGTGTCGAATGCGGGCAGTCGGGAGCGCGAACCCTGCCGCCCTCAAGGCATTTTGAGCCTCGAGCCTATTTAATTGTTAGATTGGGCGGGCGCGTTCGTCGGGACCAGAGATGCTTACGTACGATGGCATCTCCCTTTCCAGTAATCGCAATATGTAGCATGAACCGTTCATCAGATCCCGTGCGTCGGTTTATATTGGTTATTTGGGAGATGCGCATTCTTGGGAATATTGACGGTCAGTGCCACCACCACTCTCGGGGATGAGGGTTTCCTCCTGGGCCGAGTCTTGCGGTGTGTTGCCCAGACGCGGGCCCAGGCTGGCGCTGATGCTCCATCCATCTGCGCTGCGTGATATTTAGAAATGCCATGTCGGTGGAAACGTCGCGAGAGGCACATGTAAGGTCGGAACGGATGGCTGCCATAAAGGCCTCGTCGGCGTTAAGAGCCCAACACACATGCAGGCTGGGTTCTGGGGTGGTATCTTCGCAAGACTGACTCATTTTTTGTGACCGTCAGGTAGACAGTCTCTCGCGTGTCGGCGACAGAAGAAGTTGGAGTGCGAAGATGTTTCCTGCTTTCTGCGATAGAGGCCCATCACCGTGCATGGCCGTGACCTGTCAGTCTGTCAGTGTGCCAGTGGCTGCTGTCAGTGCAGAACCCCTGTGGGCTGGCGGGGCAGGCGCTGAGGTAGCGGCGCCTAATTGGGAGGCGCGCAGCCCGTTCAGTGCTGCAGCAAGGTCATGCCCATTTCACAGGGCACGGTGCTTATTACCAGCACCACCACACACACCACTAGCGGCGCACAGGACACCTACGGTCCAGGTGGTACAGCGGCCGAGCTCACTGCTGCCAGGCCTGAGGTGGTGTCCGGGCTGTCAAGCCCACTGCAGTCCCAAGCCTCCACTGCTGCGTGGGTTGGTACCTTGGAATGTTCCTGTGGCGGATGCACTTTCCTAGTGGCACGACCTCTTCGACTCCATCCCACTCCCACCACCACCCTCCACCACAATCACCATCCCTTCCGTTCGCACACCGGTCGACACTGGAACCTCCTCTTTGCATCCATCCATCCACCATCGTCCACTCACGACGCGCAGCCTATGCCCTACCCTGCCTAGCCGAGCCTAGCCTCGCCTTGTGGTCCTGCTCAGGCTTAGACCCGGCCGTGGGCTGGCCTTCCTAAAGCTGTGCTTGCATGCATGCATGTAATTATGTATGTACATGTCAACCATGTTTTTCTTGACCACCTTCTTGCCTACCTGAGCTAGCACTAATCATGGGTAGCACGCTGCTCTACCAATCGAGCTGTGGGTGCATTGGTAGCCAGGTCCTGCTTCCCCAAATCGTAAATGAGCATCCCCTTGACTGCTTGTCTGGGAAAGGGACCACGGAGGGGAAAACGTGGTGATGGGCTCCATGGTCCAAACCATAATCCAATCAATCAGCCCAAGCCCATCCCACGATGCATCCATACCGTCGCTCATCAACCTTCTCGTTCGCCACTTTTAATTTCACGCTCACAATGACACGAGGTGGGGGATGAAGAGCACTGACAGGCTCGGGGCAACCGGCTGGCCCATCTTTCATCTGCACCAAGTTAACATCACAGGGCAGAGTCCAGCAAAGTCAGTCGGTGGCCGTCCTTAGCCGCATTCCTACGATGAGCTCGGGCCCTGGAGGGTCCTTCCCGTCCCTCTGGATGACCCAAGTCCCCAGGGGTATGGTGTCGTCCTGGCCTGCACTCGTGGCCTTGTCAGACCGGCATGGCATGGCATTTGTCGCCGTGGTGGAGGCTGCACACGATCGCACATTTCACAGCCAGGTCTGCCCGCCCGCAAGCACCAGCCCATTTTCCAGAACATCCATGCCACTCCTGTAGCCCAACATCACCTCACCTCCCCTACCCGCACGGGATGGGGATCGTGGCCTGCATCGCCGGTCAGCGCGCTAATCGGCCCCCCCAAGTAATCTACCCCTCCCCGTCCCCTCGCCCAAGCCAGTACCTGTCTCCCCGGGCTCACTGAATGCCATTCTTGGGTTATTCCGCCCATGATACGCAGATGCGCTGAGTATTGAGTGCTATCTGCTGTGCCACACTGGAATCATTGGGTAGCACCCGCAATTCTCCCTGGCGGCTCACAGTCTTGGCACAGCCCAGCCTGTCGGGCCCTTCATCGAATAAGGCACAAGTAAGCTACCTATCTGCAGATGGCAGCAAGGGCTAAATCTCTGATTATCCTGTTCGTCATCTTCTGCCCGGACTGGGTTGTTGCTTCTGAAGTTCTGATACTAGCTGGGTTCTTCCCTCGAAGTCACGACGGCGAGGCCACCATGCGGGACATACCAACAAAGCCCTGGTACCTGACAAGGCAATCGAAATCACCCAATCCCCGCCTCACTTTGAGTGGTTACTTGGCTGAGTAGTCGAAGGATCTTACATCGACTTTTGAGCAGAACCGGAATCGAACGATTTGTCACCCTTAGCCTCGGTTATCCACACCCTTTTTTCTTCTTGTTGTTGTTATTCCATCCCTTTCTCTCGATTTTATCGCTACGCGCGCAATCTTCTAGGATGCTACGTGTAGATAGAGCGAGAGAAGTGGGGGAGAGAATCCGCGGCACTACTCTGTACCGTGTATAGTCACGATAGCTACTAAAACAGCTTAGGTTGGTGTGGTGCTTGGTGCCTATCCTAATACCTCGTGCCCGTCTCCCGCAGCGTCGCCGGCACTTGGTGCTTGGGCATCTATCTAGGACTATTTACGATCGCAGTGGCGACCGTTGGACTTTCTTGCTTACTAGCTTGCTAGCTTAATCGCCTTAGGTAAAAGGATGGATGCCAACGGCTGGATGCCAACGGCCAGAGTGACGTTGTCGTTGGGCCCATAGGTGCCTTGTTAGTGTCCGGTGAGTTTTTCGTGCACCGCACCGCAAAGATGAAAGATCCTTGGTCTTTCGTCCAGATCAAATTGTGGTACGGCTCCTAATTCCTTTACCAGCTAGGTAGGACTCAAGGCTCTGATGGGGAGGGAGTCTAGCCACGGTTGCCCAGACTAGCCTAGCTGCTGGCATTTTGTGGCCGGCATATCCTTGCTTCACAACACTGTTAAACCGGCACTCATTTGGCCCTACTCGTACGTATGTCCTCGTGGGCGCAGTGGTACGCCCCTCCCCCCCTTCTTCACCCTCCGTCGAGCCCCGTCTAGCATCTTAGCCTTCCGCGGCCTGACAGATTCTCTTCCCAAAACCCACAGTGTTCCGAGACGATAGACATGGCCCATCACGCATGCTCTCTCGTCTCTCTACTGGTGACTAGTGCCGGGTCAGAATCCCCACGCCCATGGCCTGAGCCGGACTCTTTCTCTCCATCCGCGCAGTGAACCCGGCACGCGGCCCTAGCAGCTTCGTCCGTCTTGCGAAGCTGGCTGTTATGCTGTACACATGAGGGCATGAAGCAGGAATCAGACGTTTCAGAGTGAGAGCCTGCCTCTGTGTTCTTTGGGTCCCAGCTTTTGCTTGCATTTTCAGCCAACTCAGAGGACAGGTTTGTAAGTAGTCCGAGCCAATCTGGGGAGGGAATTTATTATTCTAGCAGGGTCTGCTCGCTCAAGGGTGTGGATTTGGGTGCGTGCGCCTGCTTGCTTGTTTGCTTGCTGCCCCAGTTGCATCATCGCAGGGAATGACCAGGGTATCTTGGGCCCGCGACATGACATGTCTCTATATGCGGAAGCGCACAAGTCGGTAGCATAAGATCCTCATTATACACCCCTTGGCACCTGTCCAGGATTGGCCTGAGGTGCCCGCATCTTCAGGCTCTTTGACCCAGAAGAATATACCTGCACCTACCCACGACATCACTGCATTTGTTCTAAACTTGTCGGTGTTGGGATACAGGCCGCTTCAAATGTATGTCGGCTGCTCCTCCCTCCTTGCCCGGCTCTTCACCAATCAACACATGTGTCGTGATGCGCGTACTTTGCAGCCACTGACGGTCCATATCATCCATTCCACTCCTTTGGGACCAAAACATCCCTTTGATTCTTTTCAAATCACTCGGCCTACGTGTATCATTAATATCTGAGCTGTTCGGGCTCAGCCCTTCTCTGATTCAGACAGCCGGTAATATTGCGACCTCTCGGATCATCAGCCGGGTGTTGACAACTGCCTTCTTTATTATTCCTGCTTCTTCTCTCAGCTCCTGCGCCCCAAAATCATACATATACTGCCTATCCCTCCTTCCCTTGCCTTGCTCTTACACACAGCCCAGCCTGTGAGTCTACCTGTATAAGTACATGGCATCTCTCAGGTCGACTTGGTGAGCTGCTCTGGACCATCTTTGAGGGGTAGTTCTTTGGATTCCGCGCGACTAGCTGGAGAAAAGTAAAAGCAACACGGGATCCACGGTGTATTAAAAAATTCGATACTCGCGATATCACTAGTCCTTAGTGCTTGGCCATCACGGAGGTTATATTACCACTCACTTATAGCCGGCCTACCACGGAAGACAAGTCTTGAATAAACAAAAACAAGAAGGCAACCCCGCAACATCGTCCCCAAGGTTTCCTCCTCCTCTCCCTGAAGGCCCGAGAGGGCACCATTGTACCAGATTACTTCCTTAGAGAGTCTGGCGACCGTCCAGAGCGGTTTGCTCTGGCGGGATCCATGTATCGACGCCACGCTGGCGGACAACTATCGAGTCGGGGACTACAATGTGGACTACCACGGTCAGGCGGCCCAGCTAGCTCACCAGAGCCAGGCCCAGCAACATTATGACGCTCCGTCCCATCACCATCACCACCATACTCACCTCCCGCAGCATGGACGGCCGCTTCAACACCCTGGTGCGCCTAGTCCAGTCCTCCAGGAAGCGCCTCAGCACCCGCATAATGGAGTCACCCCAGCCCACCACCCGGCGATGCCCCATCATCACCACCAGCCTCATCCAGCCCAGATCTTGCTTGACCCGGCGCAGATGGGCCATCACCGCCTAGAGGCCGCGCACTTCGAAACGCCCAACTCCGTAGTCTCGCCCATCTATCATAACATTCCTACACCGACATCTCAGACGCACAGTCATCACCCTTCAACCGGGATCAAGAGACCAAGGCCCGATGAGCTGGATATTCACGCTCATGGCATGGCGCACCTGGACCAGTCCGGCCTCGGCGGCATGCATCACGTCTCACCCGGAGGCGGGCACTACGAACCAACGGGGACGCCAACTACAGCCATGGGGCCCGGACCGCCAACCCATCACCATCACCGACTTCCAGACTCTGAGCCTTCGCCGAAACTAATGCGACGCGACGACGGAGGCGCGCCTAGTGTTGTTGGGCAAGTAGGCATGCCAGAACCCGCCCCGCGACCAAAGGGGCCCAAGTTGAAGTTTACTCGAGAAGACGACCAGCTGCTCATCGACCTTAAGGAGCAGAAGAATCTGACGTGGAAGCAAATCGCCGACTTCTTCCCTGGACGATCCTCGGGAACTCTGCAAGTTCGATACTGTACTAAGCTAAAAGCCAAAACCAAACAATGGTCAGACGAGATGGTATGTTTTCTTCCTCCCCTTCCCGCGTCTCACTTTTGAAGATGTTGCCTAGCGCGGATCGCGACTGCTCCCTGGCCCCCATCTTTTGGACCCCTTATCTACCTGTTTATGGTTTCTAACAAATAACTAGGATATGAAACTCCGTACAGTATTAGAAGACTACGAAAACGAGAAGTGGCGCATAGTGGCAAGTAAACTAGGCACCGGATTTACCCCAGCCGCCTGTCGAGACCGAGCCGACCAACTATGGGGTGATGCTCCTGCTGATTTTGAGGCATCATCCCCAACTCAAGATGTTTCCGCGGCGGACACATCTGAGGTGATATACGCCCAACAACCGCAATGACAGCTTGCGGGTGTGGCCAGCACCGCTAGCACGTCCACGCCGCTGCCTTACCGAGTCGTCGAGGGATACTTCTGATCTCTATCCCCCATGGGTCCAGCCTTGGGCCTATCATTTGAACTTTGCCTGCCTTACAGCAACACATTCATAATATAGGCAACCGCACAAAACGACGAAAACATCAAAACCATTGTCGATATTGAAAAATTCCCACGACTCTCCTTTTACACGACCAAACATTCAATATGTTTAATGAATTTTCCTTTCCTTACAACAATAACAACAACTTCTTGTTACGCGGCTCAGACTGGCTACACGAATTTCCCTTTTTTCCTTTTCTGTCAGGATTAGTTATTTTGGTTTTCTTTTTTCTTGCTTTGATTTCTTGTTTTGGGGGGCACAAAAAAAACAAATTTGGAGGTGTATGGAGGAATTTCTGGTCCCTTTCAATGATGGTTGAGAATAGAATGGTCATTCTTTAGACGGAACACACCTTGGCTTAACATTACGAACAAATTTTTTCTTTTCTTTCTTTTTCTTTTCTTTTTTCTTTTTTCTAACCCCCCCTCTTACTCTATTATAACTGTTATTTATCTTTTTCCTTTCCTCTTCAACACTCTTTCGTTAATATTCCACCTCTTACTTCTTCTAATACTTTTCTAAGAGTTGGGTTGCTGATCTGGTCGCTAGACCAGCGGCCCCCCTAGTTGATGGCTGTACGAGAAAATACACAATACGCATAGACACATATCGGATGATGAGTTGGAGCATTCCAACAAAAGGGTTTGTTTTTTTCTTCTTCCTACTTGAAGATTGAAAAAAGGGAAAGATGCATATTTGAAGCTGGTGGCCCTCCTGGCGTTGTGCTTGGTGTTGGCTACCTTGGTATATGTGCAACATATAGTTTCGATACTAAATTGAATAATCAGTTGAACGTCACGCCTAGGCTGTAACTTTTGTTCACAGCTTCCCATCTAAATACTTGTATCTAAGGCGCTTGAGGAGTTTCCAACATTGTCAAAAGTGTCTACATAGCATGATTATTTAAGCAGTGCTTGGGCAAGTTCCCCCTGACTCAGTGCCCGCCCACCCTCAACAAGCGCAATGAGGTCGGCGTGCGCCGTCACGTCCAGCTCCTCCTGGCCGAGGAACCTTGCCATGTCGACTATCCACCCGTTGAAGTCCCGGATCTCGGTGGGCTTGCCGGCCCGCACGTCCTGGAGCATCGAGCTCGTGTTCTCCTTGACCTTGTCGCCGACCGTCCAGAGCAACTCCCTCAGCGGTGCAACGCCGAACCGCCGCAGCAAGGCGTCCCGATCAACCTCCGGGGTGAGGATGTCGCCGCTGCTGGGGTGGCGGACGAGCGCCTGGAGGACCTTGCTCGTCTCGTTGAGGAGGCGGTCCATGACTTGCGACAAGGGGCTGGTCCTCGACTCGAACAGGACGCCGTTCTGGCATCGTAGTAGGGCGCTTAGAGGGTTGATCACCGAGTTGATGACGAGCTTCTCCAGCTGGAGGACCCAGAGGTCCGGTCTCGAAACGAGCTGCGAGTCGAGGTGCGGGGCGGCGGCGATGCGGTCCATGAGGTAGTCCGCCGCCCCCGGGTTCCCCTCGCTAGGGAGCACGAGGCCGACCTTGGCGTCGGCGAGGGAGGCGTGCGTGCTCCTGAACGGGCCGGTGGAGGTGACGCCGTGCGTGGTGATGCATGCGACGAAGTTGGGTGCCGCGTTGCCGCCGCCGGGGTAGCGGTGCGAGACGTAGGTCTGGCCGTGGGGGGGCCAGAGCTTGGACATGCCGTTCTGGGCGAATGCGACGGTGCTGGAGCCGTCGAGGTATCTCCTCAGGCGGTCGGCCTGGGGGATGGCGGCGGAGGCCTTGGTGGCTATGATGATGTTGCCGATGGTGCGGCGGGGCGAGGCGGAGGAGCCTGTGGTGAGGATCTCGTGGGCGGCGCCGTGATCCCGGGGAGGGGCCTCGGTCCAGTACTGCACGTCAAAGTCCTTGTTCCTCTCCGTGGCGCCGGAGCGGGTGATCTCGATGCCCTGGCCGGCGTGCCATTGCTCCAGCAGCTCCCTCCGGTGAAGCACGAGGGTGATGGGGGGCGGGTCGGCGAGCTTGGAGAGGTAGCTGGCGTAGAGGCGGCCGAGGTTCCCCACGCCAAGGATGAAGATCCGGCGATCTAGATCATCCAGGATTCTGGGGGACGATGAGGCTCTGTCTGGAGTCCAGGAATAGAGCGTCGGGGCAGGGGTCTGGTCCTGGAGGAGGGTGGCGAGCCAAGGCGGCTGGGGTGATCCCATCGAGGGCAGATTAGCGGAGGCCGATATGCTTCGTTTAGATAGGGCTGGGGGCTGGTGAGAGGAGAGACCAGCCCGGGGCCGGCACCTTGCGGCAGTGTGCGTGATAGTAGACCGGGTGTTGTTGGTGATGAGCAGTCGCATTGTCAAGCTTAGGACCTTGCAAATGACATGCCAGTTCCTGGTTGTGAGGAATTGCTGTGCTGTGACGCTCAAACAGCTCCGCCTGTCAGTTTAGATCTGGCGTTAGAGTTGAGGGAGTGACATGTAATTAGGCAGCGGAAAGCAATTAAGGTGCCGAGCGGTTCGTTTCGCCCTACTCCACTAATTGATAATACCACAAGGGAGTTTATACTCTGCGGATCGTCTTATAGAACCAGACCTAAGACTATATATAATGAGGCGTGCTAAGGTAGATCGCTGGGCCCGAAGCTATATCTCTCTATTTATCAATCTATACTTGAATCGGGGAACTATATCTGAATTAAATAGACTGGAGATTAGTCTTTAAAATAAGAAACCCCATAGACAACAGCAATGGCAACTGATGGTCGATTCTCCGAGTCTTTTTGGACGCCGAGCGGGTCCACGGAGTAAGTGATTTCAGCCAATGAAAATACAGCTCTGTTGCCTGGCAGACTCGAAGGGCGCCACTTGCCGGTTCTTTCCTATTCTCGATCTAGGCCTGAATTAGTAATTACAGTGGCGGATAATCGATTGCTCATAGCGCCTCGAGCCACTATCTGTATTCAGCCTGGGCGCCTGTGCTAACCTCGCTGGTGACTGATGCCTTTTTCTCACGCCCTTGAGTGAATCATCCATTACATTCTTACTCTCACGGCGCTTCATCTCGCCCTCTTTCCTTTTCTTTCCTTTCCTTTCGGCGTCGCTAAAATTGAGGCGCACGCATTGGCATGAGATAGACCTCGCCCGCCCTCGTTTGTTCCTCCTTTTCCCTTCTATATCCCGTTCTTCCGCCTCATCCTCACGCTCGTTCTTTTATTCGCAACACCGTATATCACATTTGGCGTCAGCCCTCGATACTCTGGTCCTAAGACCAGTGAACTGCGGAGTCGGGTCTCATTTCAAGTATATGAGACCGCACTCTATTGCGCAGAGGCTATCCAGTCATGGATTCAGAAAATGCAACGGTCTCTACGGAGAATGCCGGCGCACCAACTGTCGATGAGGAGGATGTTCTGAAGAATTTGACCGGTGCTGTGCGAGATCAGGATGATCTGGAGCGTGACATCACCCTACAGGCCAACGCAGTATTAGTGGAGGCCGAGGACAAGAAGGACCAGGCTCGCATCGACAAGCTGGAGGCTACGAAGCAAAGGGTCCAGAACCAGCTTGACAAAGAGAAGAAGCAGTACGAAAAGTTTGCTGGAAATCCGTACAAATCCCGGATCATCCTCAAGGACATCGTCAAGTTCGAGGAGGAGATCAAGCAGGTCAGCAAAGACATCTCGGATTTCAAGTCACGTATTGAAAAGAGACATGTCGAGAATCCTCTGGACGCAGCAAATGCGGCAAGCTCTAAGAGACATGCCGGCGAGAGCCAGCGAGACTATCTCATCCGCACAGGAAAAATCACCCCCTTCGCAAAGATCGGAGGTCCCCGTCCAACTGAATTGCAAGGCGAGCTGGCCGAGACGATCCTCAATGCGGAAGACGATGCTGCTGCTGAGGAGTTGGGTGATGGGAATGAAGAAGGCCCAGTATCGCATCAGACGTTGAGACGGCCAGGATTTGCGGATGAGGTTGAGGAGCAGTCGTCTAGATCTGCTTCAGCAGTTGAAAGTGAATTTTCTCTCAGGCCTCGGAAAAAGCAGCGTGTACATCAACGGGTAGACCGCTCAGAACGCAGCCCCTCTGCAGAGTTCAAACCAGAGCCCGACTCGGATTCGGATGGCGTCGATGGAGTATGGCAGCAAGGCAATGAGGATGACCTTATCCGCGAAGACCGCCGAAAGTCGAAAGCCAAGGCCAGGGCTCAAGAGCAGGAGCAGGTTGATCTCAGCAAAATAGATGACGGAAACGAATACATATACCAGAAACGGTTGAAAATTTGGATTGAACGACGAAGCCGCGCCAGAAAGTCGAGACGACAGAAGATGGCTGAGGCTGAGGCAGACGCACAAGACAGTGACCCCGAGGTGGACGAGTGGTTCAAACCTGCACCAGATAAAACAGACTACCGTGTTGATGAGGGTCTCAAACTACCAGGCGATATTCATTCGGCGCTTTTCGGTTATCAGAAGACGGGTGTGCAATGGCTGGCAGAATTGTACAGGCAGCAGGTCGGTGGTATTGTTGGCGACGAGATGGGCCTTGGCAAGACAGTCCAACTCATCGCCTTGGTCGCCGCATTGCACTACAGTAGACAACTCAAACGCCCCGTTTTAGTTGTCGCCCCGGCCACATTGCTCCGACAATGGGTAAGCGAATTTCATCGATGGTGGCCGCCTTTGCGAGTAGCAATTCTTCATTCGTCTGGAAGTGGAATGCTCAACACCGAAAGGGAGGATGATTTCGATCTAGATTCGTTCAAGCCTGCTGTTCGCAAGTCAGGTAGCTCTCGAGCTGCCCAAAGAATTGTCAAAGGGGTTGTTGAAAAGGGTCATGTTTTGGTCACTACGTATACTGGATTGCAAACATACGCCAACGAGCTCTGCCCGGTTGAGTGGGAATATGCTGTTCTTGACGAAGGCCACAAGATTCGAAACCCTAATGCTGCCATAACAGTCACTTGCAAGGAGCTCAATACTCGCAACAGAGTTATCTTATCCGGTACACCGGTTCAGAATAACCTGACAGAACTTTGGTCGTTGTTCGATTTCATATCCCCTGCTCGATTGGGGACTCTTCTTGAATTCAGAGAGCAATTCGAGATACCAATCAAGCACGGAGGATATGCGAATGCATCCAATTTCCAAGTGGTTCAGGCTGAGCAACGGGCTGAAATTCTCAAGGGCGCTATTAGCAAATATCTGCTCCAGCGACTGAAAGTTGATGTTGCAACTGACTTACCTGAGAAGACGGAGCAGGTCTTGTTTTGCAAACTTACGGACAGACAACGGGATGCCTATGAAAGATTTCTGAAGTCTGATGAGGTATCCCAAATACTGAATAAGCAACGGCAGTCTCTATATGGAATCGATGTTCTTCGAAAGATCTGTAATCATCCAGATCTGCTCGACAAGAATCTCAGCTCCAAGGCCGGATACGAATATGGCAGCCCAGCTCTTTCCGCAAAGCTCCAGCTTACGATCAGCTTGCTTCAACAAGTCATGATTCCCAATGGTCACAAAACTCTCCTATTTTCGCAGGGGAAACTCATGTTGAACATCATTGAGAAATGCATAAAGGAACGTGACATCTCGTACGTTCGAATGGATGGCGAGACACCGATTGAGCAGCGCCAGCCCATGATTGACAAGTTCAATGAGGACCCAAATATTCATGTCTTTCTAATCACCACGCGAACTGGCGGCTTGGGGACAAATCTCACTGGTGCAGATCGAATCATTATATTTGACCCAGACTGGAACCCATCGACCGACTTGCAGGCTCGGGAACGCGCTTGGAGACTTGGCCAGGATAAGCCTGTCAAGATTTATCGTTTGATGACCGAAGGAACAATCGAGGAGAAGATCTACCACCGCCAAATTTTCAAACAGTTCATGACAAACAAAGTTCTGAAAGATCCGAAGCAGCGTAGCTCATATGATTTGTCAGACCTGTACGACTTATTCACATTTACACCCGGGGAGTCAGCAGCCAACCAGCGAAGCGCCATCTTTCAGGGCGCTGAAGTTGAAATATCGGGGCGCGACGGCGGTTCTAGCAAGGACAAGAAAAGCCAGATCAATGGATCGGCTAAAGAGAAGGACGTGGAGAGTTCGGCGCTCTCCAAAATGGACGGTGTAGCAACCTTGGAAGAGTTCAAGGAAGATCCATCAGTCCACGATGAAAAACGTATGCTCGATGGAATATTTGCTCGGAATGTCGGGAGTGCATATGACCATGAGCAGATTGTGAATGGCAAGCAGAATGTCAAACCTGACATTGAAGTCCTCCGCAAAGCTGCCAAGGAAGAGAGCCGTGAGGCTGTGGCTCATCTTCGCCGAGCTGGTGCACAAGCGGACAGCATGCCGGCCGGAACTGTTACCTGGACTGGTGAAGTTGGCCATCGACCCGGGTCAAACCGCCGGCGTGGAGGCCCAAGCTCTGCCGGTGTTATGAACAACTTGGCGGGCAGGCAGGGACTGAACAGCTCAGAGGGGATCAACAAGAACATGAAGGCCAAGGACTTTGTTCCCATGATTAAGGAATTTATCAATCGTCAGGGAGGCAAGGTCGTGACCAAGATGCTGGTCGATCACTTCAGCCCGTATTGTAAGGGCAAAAAGCAGAATGAAGAATTCGAACGCGCTTTGAAATCCGTGGCCGAAATCTCACAGCGTGGAAGCTATGGGAGAGCCATGTGGTCATTGAAAAAGGGTGGGAAGTAGAGGAAGGACAAGTGTGCTTGGTATACATTTCATTACTGTCACTTAGATCGGGCTTCACATGAAGACAAGACAGCGAGGAGTTACAGGATTGAATGTTTTATTTTCTGATCCCATAGAGTGCTCTATATTTTTTTTATTTGCAGCCAGAATTGACTCTCTCATAAACACCTTATTTTGTTCTTCATGTTCTCATCGTCTTGCCAACATCACATCTTGTCTCTTTGCTCACGAGGGTCATTTGTCTGACAGGGAGTACTTGTTCATGGTGCCTACTTTGGGCGAATTCATAACTGTCTACTTGGGTTTTTTGCGCACTTCTCCCCTAGCCCACTAATAAAAGAGACCCGGTGAAAGCAAAAAAGAGTAGAATGGAGACCAGGCGAAAATTGCCGTTCTCCTCGTATTTCTCAACGCCACAAGAGAAAACCAGATACCGATACTCCCCACCCGAGCCGTTCCAGCCAGCGATCTCTGAGCGCCAGCAGCTTAGAGACGACGACCACGGCGACCACCCTTTCTGCGGGTAGAGTCGGAGGGAGTAGGGGTAACGTCCTCAATGCGGCCAATCTTCATGCCGGCACGGGCCAGGGCACGGAGAGCGGACTGGGCACCGGGGCCGGGGGTCTTGGTTCCGTTACCTGTAAAGCAGTAAAGTCAGATTAAATTTCCCAATCCATTCTGCGAGCCAAGGGCTACTTACCACCAGTAGCACGGATCTTGATGTGAAGGGCGTTGATGCCGAGCTCCTTGCATCGGGTGGCGACGTCCTGGGCAGCCAACATGGCGGCGTAGGGGGAGGACTCGTCACGGTCAGCCTTGACCTTCATGCCACCAGTGACACGGGTGATGGTTTCGCGACCACTGTAGATATGCGCATTAGCCTGCCTGGTCGATTTTCGCTGCTCTGTCGAGTGTGAGGGCTGTAGACGAACCTGAGATCGGTGACGTGGACGAAGGTGTCGTTGAAGGAGGCGAAGATACGAGCAACGCCGAAAACGAGCTCGCCTAAATTCCAATGTCAGTCAACCATTTGTTCAAAATCTGGAATTGTACAACGACGGCCGTTGGCGAAGAGGGGGATTTCGTACCATCGCGGGCGGAGGGGCCGAGGGAGATGTTCTCCGCGGGGGCACGGGCGACCTTCTTGGGAGGCATGTTGGATTGGCGACGTCTGGGATTCTTGTGACGACTGGGACTGGTTCAAGGAAGCGATTCACGAACCGAAATAATGGTGTTGAGCCAAATTGGCGGTGGAGGTGGGTGGCCCCTCAGGCGGTGGGGTGTGGCAGAAAACCTGCACGCAAAATTGTGTTGTGGTGGGCGAGCCCACTTCAGAAAGGAAAAAAAGAAAGCCCTGCCCTAGAATTTTCCGTGCAAGGAACGAGCTCCACTCCAGCGAGGAAGAAAAAAAACCAAACGGCTCCAGTGCACGATCTCTCTCTTCTTCTTCACGCCGCCGTCAAGTACTAACCGACATCAACGCCAGCCGTCACCGACAAAATGAGTGCCACGTATGTTATTCCTCCCTGATGGTGCGGTTGAGGACGATTGCCCGGCTTCAAGAAACATGTGCAGATCGTCGTGGTCCTCTCGCTGCGTTGTCGATGTCGTTCCCTCTCCTTGAGGGAAGACTCGCCTAGCCAGCTCGATCTTTCTCAGGCTTCTCCCTCCATTGGCCATACCTGCTTCAGTGTTTGGGAATGGAGAGATGCTGTCTGAGGTGTTGGAGATGAATTGCGGAAGCTTTTCTCTCTAAAATTTATTGATGCGCTTCTGGGCTCTGGGCACGGTGAAAACCTGCCTCAATGCCCCAAAAAGCCTTCACTCAATTCCTGAACACACTGTTCGGGGCTTTGTTGGATGAGAGTACAGCAATTGGCCTAGCTTGGAAACTTGCCTGCCATTGCTGCTCACCGATCAAATTCATCTCGAGTTAGCCAACGCGGAGAATGCGGCTACGCTGCAGTTCTCGCACCGGCGCTCTACTACTCATACCACACTCGGTATGCCGGACTACGTACTGATTTGTGATAATAGCTCCGTCCCCACCAACGACCAGATCCTGGTCCCTGAGACTCTCCTCAAGAAGAGAAAGAGCCAGGAGAAGGCCCGCGCTGAGCGCACCGCCCTCATCGAGAAGAAGAAGGCTGTAAGTAGAGACTTTTCATGATTCTCTTGCCTCCCACCATATGATGCATATCACATTTCATCAACTAGACATTGTCGATGCTGTTGATCAATTAACCTTCTTTCGGGTCTGATTCCGTTTGACACAACACATTCATTTTGCATCTCATATTTGGATCAATTGCTAACTGAATATGAAAAGGCCAACAAGGAGAAGCGTGGTGTCATCTTCAAGCGTGCTGAGAAGTACGTCAAGGAGTACCGCGACACTGAGCGCGAGAAGATCCGCCTTGCCCGTGCTGCCAAGGCCGATGACTCCGTCTACGTCCCTGCTGAGTCTCGCCTGATCTTCGTCGTCCGCATCAAGGGTATCAACAAGATTGCCCCCAAGCCCCGCAAGATCCTCCAGCTCCTCCGTCTCCTCCAGATCAACAACGGTGTCTTCATCAAGGTCACCAAGGCCACTACTGAGATGCTCAAGGTTGTTGAGCCCTGGATCGCCTACGGTTACCCCAACCTAAAGTCCGTCAAGGAGCTCGTCTACAAGCGCGGATACGGAAAGGTCAACAAGCAGCGTGTTGCCCTTACCGACAACGCCATCGTCGAGGAGTCTCTCGGCCAGTACGGCATTGTCTGTCTCGAGGATCTCGTCCACGAGATCTTCACCGTCGGCCCCAACTTCAAGCAGGCCTCCAACTTCCTGTGGCCCTTCAAGCTCAGCAACCCCAACGGTGGCTTCCGCCCCCGCAAGTTCAAGCACTTCATCGAGGGTGGTGACCTTGGCAACCGCGAGGAGGCCATCAACGCTCTCATCCGCCAGATGAACTAAAAATGGATGTGCTAAGATAGGATGATTTAATGGGACTGTTAGCTGCACTCAAAACTGGTTTGGTTGCTCGGCGTTCAGATATGACAAAGGCTTTGTGAAAAAATGATATCCTGATGAATGACACTTCAGATTCCCATAACAATATGTGTGACAACAAGTGATCTGTGACAAGTTGTATCTCGTAAATAAATGTCGCCATCTAGATGCTAGTCAAAGTGTACAGGATTCACCAAGTCCTTTGGCGTGGCAAATGCGAGAGTTGCTGCGAAGCTTTAGGTCTGGGTTCAATATTTTTCTATCTGATTCGGCAATTAGGGTAGTGGGCCGTTCCCAGCTACATCTTGATGTCAAAACTGGTTCCGCATCCGCAACTACTCGTCGCATAAGGGTTATCAACGATCTTGAACTGCGAACCAATGAGCTCCTGTGTGAAGTCGACCTTACTTCCCTTTAGGAGATCTAAGGATGGTTCGTCAAGAATAATCCTTGCTCCCTCCGGAGTCGGTGCAGAATCTGCGTCATCCGCGACGAACTGAAAAATCGTGTCATCCTCGTTGACGACGGAGGAGTTGTTCTGAAGTTCCCCGGGTGGGATAGTAATCAGGCTCATGAGATATTGAAATCCATGGCAACCACCGCTTTCGACTTGGATTCGTAATGCAAGGTTGGGGTTTTCGTCCTTGGTCATGATTTGGGAGAGGCGCTAGTTTTGTCAGTTGCGGTTAAACTGTAATTCCATTAGGTTTTCCAAACAAACCTTTGCTGCGCGGGGAGTGATTTCAAGCATCATCTCGCTACCGTCCTCATCCTTGACAGGGTTTTTAACACAAACCGTTGCCGGCCTGGGGATCGTCGTGGCAAACGCTCGTCTCGAGTCATGCCGTACAAGGAGCTTGAAGGACTGTGGAACGGCCGTTCGTATGCTGGAAGATGGCGCCCAGCGTGGGACAAGAAAGTCGAGGGGTGGCGACGATTTTTGAGCGGGCGTCGTGGTTGAGGAATATCTGCGGATGGCAATGTTGATGAAGGATCGAGCCGTTGAAGGCGACCTGGCGCAACGCACGGGCACCATGGCGAGAATGGTCTAAGAATTGAAGATATATTATACAATTATGGAAACAGAGGAATAGACCCTGGACGTTTTTTTTTTCTCGGGATCGGAGGGCGTTGCATCGAATCTGAGGCGGCCTCAGCGAGGGACTGCATGTTATAGCCGGGCTCGCTCGTCCTCGGTGGGCGGCTCGGAGCAGGGGCTGACATAAGCAACGGCCAAGGGGGCCTTGGAGCCTTGGGCAGCCAATGGTGGGATGTACCTTATCGCTAAGCCCCAAGTTGAATGCCCCCACTTTGCCCACCAAAATCACCAATTTTCGACGTTTTCCCTAGATTCAACCCCGCGCATCTGTGAATTTTCGCAGCCCTGGTTTTTGCCCACGTCTAGGAACCAGCGTCAACGGATCACCAGCCGACAGCCTCGCAAACCGAAGACCCGAAAAAAATTCGCAAAAATGTCTTCTCGATTTTTCCGTGGCGGAGATGACAGCTCCTCCGAGAGCTCCAGCGACGAGGAGGAGCTTCTCACTGAGGAGGAGGAGGATGACAACCAAAACCAGCAGGGCGACTCCGAGGAGGACTCTGACGATATGGGATCCGACGAAGATGATAGCGACGACTCTGATGACTCTGAGGAGGGTGCCGGCAGATTCTTGAAGAGCGGCGCCGACTCCGACAGCGACGAGAGCGATGAAGAGGTTCGAGCCAAGGTCAAGAGTGCCAAGGACAAGCGCCTGGACGAACTCGAGGCATCGATCAAGCAAATCGAGAACGGTCAGAAGAACGGCGACTGGACTTTGATCTCAAGTGGTACGGATTTTTCGAATTTTCCCCCTTTCCCTCAGGGGTGACTCATGTGGTGTGCATCCTCATGCAAATGGGACTTTTGGCTAACACGCGGATAGAATACGACAAGCTCAACCGCCAGGTTACCAAGCTGCCCGGCGGCAAGACCCCCAAGCCTTACATTCGAATCATCTCTGAACTTGAGGACTTCATGAATGAGGCTCTCGCTAAGCAGAAGGTCACCCCCAAGAAGATGAACGCGACCCAGGCCCGAGCCCTCAACGCCGTCAAGCAGAAGATCAAGAAGACCAACAAGGACTACCAGACCGAGATCGACTCCTACCGTGCGAACAAGGATGAATTCATGGAGTCTTCCGAGGAGGAGGTGGCTCCTGCCCCCAAACCCAAGAAGACTGTCAAGATTGAGCTTGACGAGGCTCCCGAGGTCGATGGCGACGATGGCTTTGCTACCGTCGGCAAGGGTGGAAAGACTCTCACATACACCCCTGAGAGTATCTTTAAGCACCTTCGAGGGATTATGGAGTCCCGTGGTAAGAAGAACACAGATCGCCTGGAGCAGATTGGTGTGATGGAGAAGCTGCTCGAAATCGCCAACACTCCCTACCAGAAGATCCGTGTTCTGCTGACCATCGTATCGGCACGCTTCGATCTCGGCTCAAGCATTACCAGCGCCATCCCCGTCGAGCACTGGAAGTCCGCTGAGAAGGAGCTCCTGACTCTGCTGACTGTGCTCGAGGAGAGTCCAGAGTACATTGTCGTTGAGAGCGCAGAGGAGTGGGAGGATGACGAGAAGCCCCCTACCCTGCAAGCTGGTGAGAAGTACATCAAGGTTGCCGGCAGCGTTGTCTCATATGTCGAAAGACTGGACGATGAACTGAACCGATCTCTTCAAGCCATTGACCCCCACACTTCAGAGTACGTTGAACGCTTGCAAGACGAGGGTGCCTTGTACAACGTCATTGTCCGTGGTCAGTTATACTACGAGCAGCTACGCAAGGACAAGGACCTCGACATTTCTCAAGACAGCATCAACCGCATCATCATGCGAAGACTGGAACACAACTACTTCAAGGTGAGATTTCATCCCCATCCCACTTGCCTGAATATTGTTACTAACTAGATTTTGATAGCCTGCCCAAGTTATCAAGACCTTTGAGGAGAACCTGTGGAGTGCCGTCACTGAGAAGGCCGAGTCAGCCATTACTCCCCGCAGCGAGGCCAGCGATGCCGCCAACCTGGTCAACGTTCTCTGCAATTACCTGTACAGCAACAGCGATGGTATTATCCGTGCCAGAGCTATGCTGTGCCAAGTCTACTTCCTCGCTCTTCACAGTGACTACTACAAGTCTCGCGACATGATGCTGATGTCGCATCTCCAAGAGAACATCCCCAACTTCGATGTTCAAACCCAGATCCTGTACAACCGTACGCTAGTTCAGATTGGCCTCTGTGCTTTCCGCAAGGGCCTGGTCTACGACGCCCAGAACACTCTGCAGGAGATCTGTGGCAGCGGTCGCCAGAAGGAGTTGTTGGCCCAGGGTGTGATGATGCAGCGCTTCAACCAGGTATCACCTGAACAGGAGCGCCTGGAGAAGCAGAGGCAGCTGCCTTTCCACATGCACATCAACTTGGAGCTGCTGGAGTGCGTCTACCTCACCTGCAGCATGCTTCTCGAAATCCCTCTCCTTGCCCAGACCGGCTCTTCCCCCGACATTAAGAAGCGCATCATCAGCAAGACCTACCGTCGTATGCTGGAGTACCACGAGAGGCAGATCTTCACTGGTCCCCCTGAGAACACCCGTGACCATGTGATGCAGGCATCGAAGGCTCTCGCGGCTGGTGAGTGGAAGAAGGCCACCACTTTCATCCACAACATCAAGATCTGGGACCTCATGCCGAACACCGAGGAGATCAAGACCATGCTCTCCAAGCAGATCCAGGAGGAAGGTCTGCGGACATATCTCTTCACATATGCTCCCTTCTACGATACCCTCGCCGTTGAGACTCTAAGCGGCATGTTCGAGCTGGACGCCACCAAGGTCTCGGCTGTGGTGAGCAAGATGATCAGCCACGAGGAACTGGCCGCCTCGCTCGACCAGGTCACGTCGAATCTCATCTTCCGCAAGGGAGTCGAGCTCAGCCGCCTGCAATCCCTCGCCCTCACCCTCTCAGACAAGGCCAGCGCCCTCATCGAGACCAATGAGCGCACGCTGGAACAGAAGACACAGGGCTCAACGAACGCGTTTGAGCGTGGCGGCGGCCGTGGACGGGGAGGCCAAAGATCGGGTCAGCGACCCGGCAGAGGCGGAGCTCGCACAGGTGGCAACACCCAAAGGCAAGCAGGCGGCACACAATTTACGGGAGGTGCGCTGGGAGCTGCTGTCAGGGGTTAGAATGCATGAAATGGGGGAGGCGTCTAAATATATTCCTTTGATGTGGTTGCATGATATGGTTTGCTTTAATGAAACTGAAAAATGGCCCAAGGACGCACAAGGCGCTCTCGCCAATGTCTCTAGGATGAATGGAATACATGGTTATAGATACTTTTTGCCTCTGTGTGATGTGTGTAGAGTTTCCTGTGATCGGCAGCTGGTGTGCTTATCCAGGTAAAAAAACGGCTGGATTCTGATTAGGACGGTGAGTAGATCACAAAGGCAGCGTTATATGAGAAAACTGGTCTGATTCCCATCATGGACTACTCAGCTTGTGCGATCAAATCTGATAGCCTGATATCTGCGGAACTTGCACAATCCTTGAAAGATACTGTCAGGTCCCTTGAGGAGGTACCAGAGAATGAAAGGGACTGGCACCCAGGCAGTGACAAGAAGGTTCTCGATTTGGTTCACCCATCACTCTATCCCCTCGCTTACGGCTTAACTCGGGTACTTGTTGATTAGAGCATTGGCATCTCCGATGCTCTTGAGCACTGCGGCACAGGAACCATCCTGCCAAAACCATACCCTGTCGAGGTCTGCGGTCAACCCGGGTCATATTCTGAGCTTAAACTATCCTCTCTGTCGAAGAAGTTCCAGCGGTTGCCCTGCGATGTCGACATCTCGACGGACGGTACTGCAGGAGGACATGAACCAGGGCCTCAATGGGAAATGGAATTTCTTTGAGTAGGTGAAGCGAGGCTTGAAGCTATCAAATGTAATACAAGTGTAACTAATCCAGATAATACCAATACCTTACTACCAGGAACAAATCAAATTTCCTTGTTGATGCTGAATAATTCTACACTGTCCCTTATCTTCTTCTGCTGTCCAACGATGGGGATGCCTATTACATCGGTCTTTCGGAGCCCATCATCCGTATTTACTTCATCCTCAATAGCTACAGGACATATTGATGATGAGGAATTGACAGTACGGAGATAGGTAGATGAAGATCCGTCTAACCCCGCCGCTATGCTTTTGGTTTTGATTTGATTGCGTGCTGCTCGATGCCCCTCACCAGCGCCTTAAATGTATAGACCCCGCTTCCCTCTTGCATATGGACTGAGGTAGATTGGTATAAAACAAGCATATCCGATCAATTCATTTCTGGTTCTTCCATCGTAGGTCTCTTTACCACGGGATTATCAATTGGGCGTAGAACTATATCAGATACACACAATGGCTTCTCAGGATCTCCCCACCCACCTCAAGCAGTCGCTCGAGGACACCAAGGTCGAGTACCGCCAGCTGGGGAATTCAGGTCTACGAGTGTCTGTTCCAATCTTTGGCTGCATGAGTCTAGGAGACAAGAAAGTGCTCCCTTGGACCATTGAAGAAGAAGAGGTTCGTTTGGGTGTCCTCCTTATTACGAGTTCCTCATATACTGACTGGCGATGCGACATCACAGGCTCTACCACTTCTCAAGGCTGCGTATGACCGCGGGCTGAACACATGGGACACGGCCAATGTGTACAGCAACGGCGCCTCCGAAGTGATTGTGGGCAAGGCTCTCAAGAAGTACAACATTCCCCGCCACAAGGTTGTGATTCTCACCAAAGGCTTCTTCGCAGTGGGTGAAGATGCCGGTAAGTCCCAGCTCTCTTCCATTCCTCTTGCTCTTACATCTCAAGCGTCGAGACACACAAATCCTAACTAGACATTCTTCCCGGTCTTCAGGCACCCGCCACGTTGAGCAGCGCGCGGCCGTCGAAGCCTCCAAGGACTACCAGAACAACTTCGGCCTCTCGCGCGCGGCTCTCTTCAACCAGGTGGAGGCGTCGCTCCGGCGTCTGGACACCCCCTACATCGACCTGTTCCAGATCCACCGCTTCGACCGCGCCACGCCCATCGAGGAGACGATGAAGGCGCTGCACGACCTGGTGCAGTCGGGCAAGGTGCGGTACATCGGCGCCAGCAGCATGTGGGCGACGCAGTTCGCGCGCATGCAGTTCGCCGCGGAGCGCAACGGCTGGACCAAGTTCGTGAGCATGCAGAACCAGTACAGCCTGCTGTACCGCGAGGAGGAGCGGGAGATGAACCGCTTCTGCGACGACACGGGCGTCGGGCTGATCCCCTGGGCGCCGCTGTGCAGGGGCCACCTGGCGCGGAGGCCGGCCGAGTTTCGGTCCACGACGAGGAGCGCGGGGGAGAAGGAGGGGCGGGTTGGGCAGACGGAGGAGGACCAGAAGATCATCGCGAGGGTGCTGGAGATTTCGGAGAAGCGCGGCTGGCCGATGGCTCATGTGGCGCTGGCGTGGGTGAACAAGCGGGTGTCGAGCCCGATCATTGGGTTCAGCAGCCTGGAGCGCCTAGAGCAGGCCATTGGGGCGACGGGCAAGGCTCTCTCGCAGGAGGAGGAGGCATATCTTGAGGAGCTGTACCGGCCCAAGGCCATTGATGGGCATGCGTAGTAGTGTGAGATGAGGGCATGTTCATTCACGTTCCAGGCCGACGGACCGAGGCTTTCTAAGAGGTACAGGGTAGCCCAATGAACGGTAGGGATTCGATTACAACTATTGCAGCGATTGGATCTATGGAACAGCAAAATAATACACCAAGTATTAGACTTTCGTTAGAAATTCTTAATAGATACCATTAAACACATCATGCAGCTATGCCAGAGGTCGCACGATGACCGTTGGCGGTGGCTGAGGCCTAACCGCCGGCCGTGGCTGATGGCGATCAAGCCGAGGTACAGCAAGAGCAGGCCAGAGCTTCAATCTTCCTCGGCGGGGATTTGTTGATCGGTGCGCGGACCGCTTCATCCGCGGCGTGTGTGCTGGTGCTAGCTCTCCTTGTCTACTTAAGTCTGGGGAAGCCTGGTCTAGGCTGGTGTCCTTTCCAACGGTCCTTGTGTGGTGTCTGCGTGGTTTTGGTGCGTCATCTGAGTGAGCACATCATATGCGTGCTATTCTTGCCATTGCCTATTCACACATGCTAATTATCCACTTATCAGCTTCGACCGATTCTATTATCTAACGTCTGGTCGATCAGCACCTCGACTTTAATCTCGCATCCTCAACAACCACCATCACCAAAACCAGTCTTTCCTTTCTCCTATTTTAAAGGTCACTGTACTGGTAGGCGGCTGGAGAGAATCAACCCAAAACCCAGGGGCATATATCCACAATGGCCTCAACGACGTCAGCGACGACCACAGTGGTGGCCACCGAAGCGACATCGGCATCGTCCATTGCCTCACTGCCATCCGGCAAACCAATCGACTCGTCCGCGCCCAAGTCCAACCGACCGCCCCCTTCGCTCGCCTCCCTCCTGACCGCGGGCCCCTACGCCGTCGACTCGTTCCTCGGCCGCCTCCACCGCTGCCTCCAGACCCGCAGCGGCGCCGACACGGTCCTCTTCTTCATCTGCTACGCCTCGCGCTTCGCGGGCGCCGCCCTCGAGGACATCAGCCGCTCCGCCCTCCGCCACGCGGCCCAGAACCTCATCGCCCTCGCCGTCAAGCTGCCCCCCTCCACCACCGTCACCTTCGACTCGGCGCCCCTCGTCTCCCCGGCCGCCGCCATCGCCCTCCAGCTCTCCGCCCGCCTCAAGGCCCTCGCCGCCACCCTGAGCGAGATCCGCACGTTCGGCCGCCTCTGGGGCCTCCTCGGGCTCTACTTTGCCAGCAAGAACCTCGTCAAGTCCGCCCTGGCGCCCAAGAAGGAGGGCGAAGAACAAGCAGACGGCCGCACCAGGGCGCAGGCCCGCTTCGACACTTTCTGGGCCGCCGCTCAGATCCTCGCCCTCGTGTCGTTCCAGCTCAACGAGAATATCGTCTACCTCGCGTCCAAGAAGATCCTGGGCGTGTCTCCCGCGACGCAGGGCAGGCTGGGCCGGCTGAGCGTGCGGTCGTGGGCCGCGTACACGTTCATGGAGCTGGCAAGGCTGCTGATCGTGCGCCAGCGCCGCGCATCGGCCAGGGCTGGCGGGGAGCTGACGGCCAAGGACGCCGAGTGGAGGAGGGACTGGACAAAGGACTTCACGAGGAACTTGTCGTGGGCGCCGATGACGGTGCACTTCAGCGTGGAGAATGGCCCGCTGAATGAGCTGGGCATCTCCGCGTTGGGTCTGTATCCTGCTATTTCCCAAATGCGGGAGCTCTGGGCGGATAACGCATAGGCAGGGTTTATGTTACCTGTTGAGCGTTGGGTCATCATTGATTGTGAGACGAGAGGGCTCGCTCGGGCTGCTGTTGGACATTGAAGCAGCCCGGCATCATTAGAGAGATGGTCGAAATAGAGAGCTTTTACGGATGACTATAATAGTCGGAGGGGAACGAAGAATCATCGGAATATTATTTGAGTGTTATGTTTCAAGCCAGCGAATACACTTGCGCTTTCTGCCTTCATGAGACTGAGCAGCAAAGCATTATACATCTTATACGGTACTCGGAAGCAAGGCTTTAGCTAGACATTCTCACAGTTTGCCCCTTTTCATGTAGATACATTTTACGGTATATAGATGCCCCCGAGAATTTCATGTTTTGAATAACTCGATAGAATGAAAAACATCATCAAAGAAACAGAATGCATCGCAAGTATATCCAATCATGTAGCCGCCCATGCTTCTCATGCCTTCATTCAGTCTATTTTCTTCTCCCCCCCACCCTCACATCGGCATCCTCCTCATCTCCTCCAGCGTCCAGTACTTCCTCATATTCTCCGCCCCCAGCGTCTTGACCTCGTCATCGAGATGCGCCCAGAGCACGTCGCCCCACGTCTCCATCTTCTCCCTCAGCACGCCCAGCTCGAGCTCGTGCTCGCCGGACAGGCAACCCCGCAGGTAGGCCTCGAAGACCTCGAGCCCCGCGTGGATCTCCTTATGCTGGTCCGGCAGGCTGCCGCGGAACTCGGGCATGCGGCCGGCGAGCATGGGGAAGAAGTGGCGCTCCTCGATGCCGTGGTGCATGGTCAGGTGCTCGGCGAAGCTGAGGCCCTCGCCGATGAACTGGCGCATGCTCATGCCCTGGGGCCGCTTCTTCTTGTTGCAGGCGTCCCAGAGCAGGGTCCAGGACTGGCGGAAGTAGTTGTGCTTAGAGGGTTGTTAGGCATTTAATTCTCTAGGTAAATGGTGGGTGAGACGTACAAAAGCATCCATCCGCACTGCCATGCGGTTGTACTGTTTAAAGTCATGGTCTGAGAGAGGGGGCAGCTTCTCGGTTTCTGTGGCCGCGGGAGCCTTGTTGGCCGATGGTTCAGCTGCACTGGCCATTGCTACTTGGATTTGATTTCGATTGGAGTGGGAGAATGGGCGTAAGAGAAAGCTGTTGCGAGGATGAACTGGGAGTAGACGTCCCAGGGTCAGACTGTGAGACGGCGGGCGCAATCTCCTCATTTATCACAAGTATAAGTGTCTATCGCGAGATGGGCTACAAGCGCAGTTACAAGATGCATATTATATATACGACCAGATAAGGCACTTTCAATATTTCTGATTTATCAGTCCGAGAACCACATGGGCAGCGGCGAGAAGAATTAGTGGTTTCCCCATTAAACACCCTACCGTTTGCCCCAGACGGCAGATGCAACGCCCAGGGCCGATCCAATGGGAGTCGACGCTTAGAATTAATGGTGGTGAGAGGCGAAGCAATGAGAAAAAAGCTGCTGCTTGATTAGTCTTTGCCGCGCGCGGTTATTAGTCATGCTGCATGACACGGGCTGCATCAGCTTTGTGCCGCGCGCGAGTCGAGCGCAGCCCGGCGACTTTTCGCTCGTCGGACAAATCGGTTTTCCGCATCAATCAATCAGCTGCTCAGTTGAAACAGCAGTCTCCAGGTCTGCTGTTGCCTGCTGTTTGTCTCGTTATTCATTGAGCCAAACATATGAATTTGGCTGGTCTGCCGGTAGCAGGCATGATCTCTATAGGATAAAGCTACAGCTAGGGTAAGAGTTCCATTACGGTATGTGCCGTTGTCTTGGTGGTTTCGCAGGGCAGCTGGACGATCTCTTAGGGCCGCCGAGTTTTCAGTGATGTCTTTAAGCTAAGCCTGGTGGAATCATTGTTCATCTATGAGCACCCCAGGCCCAGGCCAAGCTTCTGACAACAACAAACATGAACATGAAGGCAACTCGGCCTTTCCCAGGAGCTTCAGATCTCGACACATCCGCAGTGTCCTCAACAACACCAGCCTCTTATTAAGACTTTTGCTCATTGAATCAAGGGCTTGATCTACTTTCAGATATAAAAGGAATCTCGATATCTTTCAATTAGAGGGGATAGACGGATCGGGGCTGAAGGCGCCTGGGAAGTCCGCCCTGCTAGAACTTGTATTTTAACAACAATTTATTTAGAATAATGACAGATCTTGGACGCTATGTTAAGGTGACTATGGTACGTGATGAGTTCTAAGAACATTATTAATTTCTAGTTGAGAGTACAGGGGAAAAGGTTGTGCTTGTCGTCCACTCAGACGAACTTGAACAATATCGGTTCCTACTAGCTACCCTATACTAAGCATGGATATTCAGGTGCACTCAAGTTTCATTAAACAGACAACAACCTCACTGCTCCTTATCTAAATAATCTACTTTATTATTGTTATACATGCACAATGCAGCTAATTGATCAAATGCGCCTCTAGGCCCTGTCCTGTGCGCCTACAATAACACAAACTATTTTTTAGTTCTCATTGTCCGGTATCCCTAGTTAGTTATATAGCAATGGCTCAAAACACACTTGCGTAGAGGCTTTTAAGTCACCGCCCGACTTCAATAATCAAGCCATCAACTGCCTCTTTCCACACCAAATACAGTCCACGATAAGCGGAAGATTTCAAAGGGGACAGCGTCAAATTACAATGACAGCAGCCCCAGGCCCCGCGTGGACCTTCGAGGCCCTCCCGGACATCTTCGAGAACTACGGCGCCGCCTCCTACGACGGCTATTACACCGATAAGTTCAACAAGGTCGCCACGCAGCCTCGCCTCGCCCTCCTGCACCGCTCGTATCCCTCCGACGATCCATCTGCCGCCGACCAGAGGGACTGGACTCGCCTCGCCGCCTACGTGAGATCGCTTAACGCGCAGGCCCCTGCCAATGTGCGCTACAAGGTGCTCTACCTCACCCGCCACGGGCTGGGCTACCACAACCAGAAGCACACCGAGGTCGGCACCCGCGAGTGGGAAGTACGTAGAATCCTATCCTCTTTCACCCATAAAGCCCAATGAGTTTCATTCCATGTGTATTGACAGAAACCTCAGGACAAATGGGCACTCAAGGACGGCGACGGCGTAAACACCTGGTTCGACTCCTTCCTCACCCCCGCCGGCGAGCAGCAGGCCCGGGACCTGAGCAAACTGTGGGAGACGTTCACCGCGGAGGACAACGTCCCCTTCCCGCAGTCCTTCTACACCAGCCCCATGGCCCGGTGCCTGCAGACCACCGAGCTCGCCTTTGCGCCCCTCCGCCCCCCCTTCCGCGCCACCGTCAAGGAGGCGCTGCGGGAGCGGTACACCCTGCACACGTGCGACAAGCGCCGCCCGCGCTCCTGGGTCGAGACTAATTGGGGGCCCAAGGGGTATCTCGTTGAGACGGAGGGGTTCCCCGAGGAGGACCAGATGCGGGCGCTGGGGAGGCCGGAGACGGATGAGGAGCACACGGCCAGGAAGCAGAGGGCGCTCGAGGACATCTTCGAGGCGGACGAGGGGGAGTTCATCTCGCTCAGCATCCACTCCATCGCCATCCGGGCCGTTCAGGCGGCGTGTAAGGCTGATGTGTTCCGGGTCCGCGAGGGGTCGTCGATTGCCATGTTGGTCAAGGGTGAGAAGCAGGTTAATGGGGAGAAGCTATAGAAGGATAGAAAGCGTGATAGCACATAGAAAGTTATTAGAAAAGGCTTCAATGCCTAGACGTTGATTTGGAAGATTTGAACTTGCAAAATATATATCTCCCTGTGGAGTGATTCTAAAGCAGCCATCTCATGACTTTCATCACATCGCTCAAATGCTAGAAAAGCACGGCTATCTGTTATGCTTATATCTATACATGCCGCTATAGACGGCGTTACCCGAGATCCTCCTCCCCCATGACAAAATGTTTTCTTCAGGGTATCTAATACGTGAAAATGAAACAAAGGCTCTACTTCGCCTTTGGCTTGATGACCATCAACCCATTCCCACTGGCACTCCCCCACACACTCTCGCTGACCTTGGTCGGGATCTTCCTCCCCTTGAGGCGCTGGTCTATCAGCCACATCCCGACCACAAACTCCTGCCTGCTCAGCACGCCTCTCTTATCACGGTCGACGAGATCCCACACCTCGATAAGCTCATCCTCGGGGAGCCGCGATCGCTTCCAGACCTCCCTCACTACGACGTTGGCCACCGAGTGCGAAAAGTCCTTGAGGTTGTCCCTACCGCTGCTGCTGAGGCTGGACGCCGAGGGCGAAGCGGCATGGGGCAGGTGGATGCCACGGTTGGACGCCCACACGGCTTCGTAACGCTTGCGCTCCCTGGGCGTGACCTCATCTCGCCACCTCCTGCGGGAGCCCTCATGATGGGCGTGCTTCCCGCTTCGCAGCTTCGGCCGGTGGTTCTTCTTATGTCGATCCTCCTCCTCATCAGATGAGTCGACAGGGCCTCGCATCGTCTGGCGAAGGCGCGGTGATTTCTGCCGTATGGGCGTCACGGGAGGGGGCAACGAGGTTCCAGTGCTATGCGGCGTTAAACGAGCAGCGGCCAAAGACCCAGCCATGATAGCGCTCGTCAAGGAATCCAGGGCTTGGTTCTTGTTGGTCGAGGACACGGTAGTTGAGCGTTGCCGCTGCACGTCTCTGGTTGGTGATGGTGGCCCGCTCGCCGTTTTCCGATGGCGGGGTGGGAAGGCCGGGGCAGTTTTAGCAAGCTCAGGCGAGGTTGGGGCGGAGACGAACACATCGTTTGCTGAATCCATTGTATCAGTTGTTTTTGTACGTTGCAGCCCAATCGGCTCCGGGCTGTCTGTATCACGATTCGAAGAGACCTTGGTTAACGGCTTGGAGCTTCCCCGGGGCTTTGGTGGTGCGGGTGCCTGGCCGCGATCTCCTTTGGGCTTGTTGGGAACGGCCCTTCTTTGGTCTTCGGGCGCCTGATTTTGCTTCAAATTACTTGTAGATTGGGGTTTTCTTGGTTTTGGTGGTGTTGGGGGAGCCGAAGATTTCGCAACTGGCTTAGATACTGGGGCAGCGTCCTCGCCAAGAGGCACCGCCTGGTCCGATCGTTGCTTGGATGAGACTCCGGCGGCTGGTTTGTCAACCGACGGTTTTGGCTTGGGAGGAGGGGCAGAGGTCCGAGATTCTGGTGGTGTTGGTGGCCTCGCAGTCTGTGCTGGAGCTCTCTTGGGCTTCAGCGGAGGCTTCACAGCCCCTGGCTGGAGCGGACTGATCCCAGCTGACTGCGGTGGCGGCGTCAGAGGGCTGAACTGAGGCGGATTGCTCGATTGTGGTGAATTGTACTTGTTGGTGATCCGGGGAACTGCTGTCTGCACAGGCGAAGCACGCCTCTCCTCCACTTCAGGGCTCTTCCTATCACTGGTATTCTGAGAGACAAGGTTTTTCAACCGCGGAGGAGAACGGCTCGCTTTCGCCTCTGGCCTGCTTAGTTCAACGGCACCAATAGCCTGTGCAGCCCGCTGCCTCTGTCGTTGAGCAGAAGGGCTCGTCCCGAGATCTGGCTCCCTCGTATCGGTCCTATCCTTGGACATCAAATTGTCAAGCCGCGGAGGAGTGGCCTGGCTCTGTGGTTCCGTCTTGAGCGGCCGCTTCTCCGCCGCCCTCGGAACCACACCTTCATCAACTGGTGGTTCTCTGCGAAAAGCCACAGTCTCATCCACCGAGCGCTTCCCACGCACCGGCGTCTTCTTGACAGGATCCCCACCACCACCACCTCCTCCCCGCCCACCTTCAAATATCGATATCAAGGATCCCGTCGGGGGTATAGGCTCCGAATCCACAGCCACATCAGAAGAACTCACGGAGCTCATAGCGCCCACGCTGGCCTTCCTCCTAGGCGCCACCGGGGACGCCGCGGCCGGCTTCGGCGGGCTCGGACTCCCATTGCGGCTCGCCGCCAGCGTGGCGGCGATGAAACTCGTGCTCTTCGGGTCGACCCTCGGCGGCGTCTGGAGATGGCTCCCGTGCTGTTGCTGGCCCGACGCCGCTGCCAGCTGCTGCATCCTCCCGGCGACGATGCTCCTCGCCGCGGCGGCGTCCATGTCCGGCAGGCCGTTGACGCTCCCGCCCGTGCTCTGGGAGCTCAGCGTGGCGGCGGCGAGGGCGCCATTGCTGCCCTTCGAGGGGGGAGGGGGCGCGGGCGGCTTCTTCTTGCTGAAGGCCAGGGAGGCGCCCCGGAGGGCTGCAGCCGGATCTGAGGATGCGCCGCCGCCGGGGGCATGGGGCGCGCCGTAACTCATCACCGGAAGGAGGCGTAGGGAGAACGACGAGGAGACATTAGATAAAGGGGGGTTTTGAGAAAGCGATTCGGTTCGGTTCGGTCGGTGTGAGGTTTTTGGTTCGAGAGAGATCAAAAAAGAGATCTGGCAGAAATCGATGTCGTTGGTGGTTTAAACGAGGCCAACAGGAGTAGAGCCCCAGCCGCTGAAACAAACAAGGATCCCGCAGCAACCGAACGGACGGTGGATCAGGGGTTCTAAACGAGCGAGCGGGCTACATTAAGGACCAGCCAGGCGGTTCCAGCGGAGTGCTCAAAGCGAACGGACGAGCGAGGCTGGGCTCTCGGGGGCGTAGGTCACTCCCTCATGCTACCCTCGGTCGGAAAGGGCTGGTCGGTCGAGGTCTGGTGAGGGGGATAGATAGAGCTGAGACGAGACAAGACGAAAACGAGGTTGCCTGCCACATGTCCTGCCGCTCAGCTGTGCGACATGTTTTTGATGATGGAGCTGACTGATCGATCTCCAAGGCCCGCAAGCCAAAATGGAAGTCTCGGGTACGCTTCCTCGGTCCCCGCCAGCCGTGCTGAGAGTGGCAGCCGTTGCGCCAGAAGGTATCGGGTACAGAGGCCAAAGGATTAAATTAGGTACAGCTAATAGCGCCTTCTAGCACTGTAATCAGGGGTTCAGCTCTCCGCGTGGCACTTGCCTGGCAGCTATCGGCCGCTACTGGTTAGCGGCTCATCACCAAGTGGCGCCTGGCTCGAAGAATGTTGCCAATTGTGTGGCTGATGATCATGTCCAGGTGCACGCTCGTGTTCGGGATCCGAGGATGACCAGAGACATGGTTGGCCATGCTATGGATCTCTTAGACGGTCTGTACCAGGAACGTGGGAGATATCACTGGGTCATTTAGTGGTTGGATACCTGCATGCATGATATCTTGCATGAGGTGCATCTCAGGCGGCTCATCTCACAGACTCGGGACCAATAGTAATCCTCAACATTTGAGTAGACGAAAATTGTGTATTCAAGCCTCTCTACCAGACACAATACGAAAAGCCCTTATATCGGGAGCAAGATGTGCAATCAATCAATCAATCCAACAGACGCCAGACCAAAGACAAAAACCAATTCCAACAGCCACACTGCTATGCGCCTTAACCCTTTACCCGTAGTCCCTCCCTCAACACCCCTCGGCGTGTCCACGATATTACCCTGGTAAAAATGCTTAGCTAGGACCAGCGGGAGCAAGCTTCTTCTTGCATCCATCTGTACCCTTTGCTATTCCTCCTCCAGGCTGAAGGGCAAGACTCAACCAACAAAACAAGATAAGGAAACTACAAAGGAGGTTCCTTTGTAAACGTATTGGACATCGCAAGAAAAAGTCCCCTTTGCACGGGACCCGCGATGATTTTCAAAAAGAGATAATAAATCTTCTCTTCCAAATATGCACAACTAGAATCAGAAGAAAGAAAGAGAGAACGCGACGAAGCGAATCCGACGGGAGGGTGCTTAGTCCCCATCGTAATGTAAGAGCATGAAATAATAAATGAATGGTTCTGTGATGAGAACCAACTGCAAGGCTTATTGTGAAAAGAGGTCAGTAAACTGACAAGTATCGTGTCCAGCATCAATGTCTCGTCGTGAACCTCATTCATCAGGGGGAAGTATCAGTTGCGCCATGATCATAAAGAATAATCTGCATCAACTCGGAACTCATAGTTCTAGTGTGTCTCATTAATCATGTTGCACAGTCTGGAGAACTAGTAGGCGTCCTCATCGGTCCAGTCGCTCCCCGAGATGATACGGTTGCCGTCCTGGTCAATCATTATGGGCGCGTTGTTGTATGCATGTGAAGGGGGCATGCCTCGTATCCGCTTGGACTGGCTGCTCGTCAATCGACCACCCTGCTCAGCCTCCACGCGCTTTCCCCTGGCGGCCCTCAACTTGGCATAGTAGGCGTCCGAGGCGTCCGGCTCGGGCTCACTGTTGTCATCGTACGTTTCCCAGTTCTCCGAGCCTGAGATATTCACAGACGACTGAGAATTATTGGACACTTGTCGGGGAGGCGGCGCCATGGGGTACGGATTATTTCCACGGACGGTTGCGTATCGGTCGTCGTAGTCATCATATTGGTCCTCGTAGTAGCTGCTTGGTTGTGTGCTGTGTGACTGGTTGGTGCTGTGAGAGAATGTGGTGGAATGGGACTGGTTCGAGGCAGAACGCCCGCCCCTTGATGTCTGTGGGCGATCATCATACACATCCTCAGGCTCAATAGGCCGCACGATACTGCCATTTAAGCCAGCTGACTTGTAAGGGTTGACCGGTGTCTCGAGCTCCGGCGCGCCCATAAGATCTCTCATCTTTGGCGGTGGTGCTCTCATCGGAGCGGCGCTGCGTAGACCATCGGCCCTCGACTCTGGTCTGGGTCTCTCGGGCGAATTGTTTCCATGCTTCAAATTCGACAGTGGGACACGGGCGGGGATTCTCGACGGGCTTCCCTTTCCACCAGCGCTCGAGGCGGCTGCTGGCTTTGCTGGAGTTTTTCTGAACGTCCCACCGCCGTTTCCAGTTGCAGTTGGTGTCTTGGTCATGGAACGTGGGGGAATCGACCTGGTGCTGGGCGCTCTGTTGTGACCAGACTTGGGAACAGGCTTTGCTGCCGATGATGGGTGGCCTGCTGGTGTCTTGGAACGGGCGGGAGGGGCCGACCTCTTCGAATCCGCCGCCTCAATCTCGTCCAGATATCGTTCACCAAATACCAAGAAAGGGCGCCCGTACTCGTCCTCCCATCTGCTCAAGACCTTCCGTAATTCGGCGGTGATCTTAGGGAGCTCCTTTGCAATTCGCTTGCGCATCTTCTCTTCGCGGAGAAGCTTTCCTGGGTCGCGCTTCTCTCCCTTCTGGCCGCGCATCATGAGTCGAGAGGCATCCTGGCTGGAAGTGGCCAGGTCATCGCGCTCCTTGATCAACTCCTTGTGGCGATCGATCAGAGCAAGCGTGGGTCCACGCTGCTCTTTGAGTGCCTCCAGCCTTGCAACCTCTCGTTCATGGGCCTCAAGGAGAGCATCACTATATACGTCCGAAAAGGCGGGGGTGAACTCGAGCATTTCATCCTCGGAGAAGTAGAGCGAGTCCCAAAGCTCCTGGAGCTTTACTCGAGAATCCTCGACGAATAGATGGAGGTTCTGGCGCTTCAGTTCGTTGAGACGCGCAAGCTCGTCCTCAAACTCGTTGATCTGGCGAACACCGCACCCACGATTCTGATTGATAAAGGCTTTGGTCTCTGCCGGGTCCACCTCCAACTTCACCCAGAGGGCTTCAACGGCAACCTTTAGATCCCGGAGCCTCTTCTCACGAGACTTCTTCTCTTCAAAGAGCCGGTCACGCTTGGTACGGAGGCGATCGAGGTCCTCCTGGTGGAGACCCAGCTGCTCTGGCGCATCTCTGTAGTACTTGACGATGGCGCCGTCCTGCTGCGCTTGGGGAATGCCCAGCTCGGCCCAAAGCTGGATGACGTCGTTTGACAATGTCTGGACGGTGGCAATACGACGCGTATACTCTTCATACACGCGGGTGAATTCACCATCGAGCTTGTCTACATAGGTGGGTGAGAGGTCGAAGTTGGTAGGAATTGACTGGTTGTGGCCTGTGGGAGGTAATGCGATCTGTACGAATGTGGGCTCAAGATGCGACGAGTATGATTCTAATGCTTCAACAAGCTCTGCAGGAAGTCAGTAAACGCGACATGAAGGGGGCTATCGGCTCTCGAGGTGGTGTGGTAAAACATACTTCTGACTTGCTCGAAGCGCTCTTTGTGAAGTCTGCTGATCTGGATATGTTTCTCTTTGAGGGTTTGTAGGCAGCGGTTGAGAGGGTATGTGATGGCGAAGTCGTCTTCGTCCTTTTCTCTGCGGTGCTTGGTGTCATCTAATGAGGCTTCCATCTGACGGATGATTGTGATGATCTTCTTGGCCTCGTCGACCATCTCCTTCTTCTCAGAGGTCACCAGCCGTACTTGGCTGTTCAATGCTTCTGAGAGAGCCTCGAACAGCTGTGCGATTTCGCATATTAGATTCGTGCGCCAATGAGGAAGAACACCCGAGTCGCAATACATACCTCTTCTTCGCGAGCCTCGCGCTCATGGTTCGGTACGCCAATCTCGTCGAAGAGGCCGTGCAGCTGGCCAATGCTCGCATTGACCTGCTGGGCAAGATAGCTGGTGTCCATGGTAGTGATGCGGGCTCAAGGATGGCCTCGAGACGTAGTAGATATAGTGGTAAAGAGCGTCGGCGCAGGGCTATTGGATAAATCCAGCTGCCGGCGGTGTTTGGAATGTTGCGGGATCTCGGCCTCGTTATGTTTTCCCTCGGGGTTGCACAGCGTGATGGGTCTCGGCGGGTAAAAGTGGTTTGTTTACTTCCAAAAGCAAGCTGCCTGGAGTGGTGGCATCAGGTGCGAGTGTGTCGGAGAGGAATACGGCAAAGCATGCTATAGGAGGCGAAGCTAGACACAGTCCATCCAAGGGACGATATTGTGAGAAGCAGGAGGGAAAGAGGAGAAATTCACGGTGATCTGGCGATGCTCGGAGAGAAGATCCAGGCCTGCCTTGTACATGCAGTGCAGCGCAGGTACGGCACTATTTACCGGCGCACAATGGGGATAACGTCTACAGGGCACCTCTCCACTGATCCAACGGCCCTGCGCGCTGTTGTGGTGGGGGTTGGCGTGGCAACCGACGAGCTGCTGGCCCCAGCCAAAGAGCCTGCAGCCAGTGGCCGATAGCTGGGTTCAGCAGCCAGTCAGGGCAGTGCTCGGCGGCAGTTCTGTGGGCCAAATGCAACCTTGTTTCACAGCCTGCACACCGGAACCTTGTCAGTGGCTCCCAGTGACGCCTGTTTTTATGCACTGCGTTGGGCCTGTGCAGCAGCAGCATCCATCTCGTCTGTCTCGTGAGCAGCTGCCGCGGCGTCTTGCCGTCTGGTTGGTCGACTCTCGTTCCCGTTTAAGGTAAGGTAGGT